TGCAGCGAGCGGTTGACGAGGGCCGAGACATTGAGCCCCCTTGTGCACGACACATGAGCGAGGATGAGTTGCGCGACTTTCTACAGACTCCAATACGGGGGTCCCCTGCCATACCCAATCCACCGAAAGGGCTGTAAAGCTGACCACCGAATCAGTCACAGCTGTAACAGGCGCAGACCGACAGGACGGCTACGCTCTGAACAAACGGGCCTACCGAAACAAAATGAAAAGGTAGCATTAGCTTCATCCATGTGTCGTACACAAGGTATGTTAGTCACTTTGTTCTCATGTCACCCGACTACATACTACATAGTGTGAATAAACTTCATATCAACAGTGAACGCAGAGTCATATGTTACTCAGATCAATCCAACTACGTTCCTCGCTATTGTAAATGGCTCCCGAGCGCACTCCACCATTTCGCCAATTCACGATAGTCATTTATCCAATTCAACATTAGGTCTAAAATATGTCTGAAGTAACATAAAAATGAAGTGAACATTTCTGTCGTGCTTTGATAGACGTAGCATAACGACCACGACGGTCGCAAGTGACCGCCGGGGCTGTGAACGGCACGGCAACGACCGGCCGGCGGGTGGCTACGCCAGCGCCATCTATGGAGAGAATCGGATAACTAACGCAAACCTTCCGAGCCTTATGCTTTCCTGCGAGGCCGGTGAAGCAGGCGGCGTGCCGATTTCGACGCCGCTGTATGCCGAATCGACTGGTACATGCATTTAGCGATACATTTTTAATATTTTTTCATTACATTCATCATATTATTCAAAAACATGCAAAAATTGAGAAAACCGGAAATAATCAACGAGCCGGGGCGGTCAAAAAAATTTCGAATTTTATATTTTTCCGCCGGATTCGTGATCAGCACCCCCAAATACGTTAGATTAGACCTGGGGAGCAAAACTTTTCGAAACTTTTTGCAAAACCGGTCACCCTAATATAGCAGGCAGCTTGATCATCTTCGGCCTTGGTATAATATCAGTCCAAGTTCCAGTATCTTCTAATATTCAAATTAAAATGAAAAGCAATAGGCTTTCTCAGCGCCGACGACGGATTTCACGTTGATAAAAAAGGGAGCTCAAGGTCAGCAAAACTCGGGTTCAAGGAATGGCGGGCGTTGAAATGACTGCTGACGTCATCAAAAAACCGCTAATGGTTAAGAGATAGGGACTAAGCTGGTCCCACCCTGCAAGTAAAGGGAAGAAATTTCTTGAACACCATAAAGCTGCGGGGGTTGCGACCAGGATAAATGGTGGTTTCTGAGCCTGGCCGCAAACTTGGCTATCTCAACTCAAAACTAATGTTAAGGTGGGATGGTCCCTTTAACCCTCGCATGTGTAGGGGGGGGAGGTCGGATGGACCCCTCCATGGTTTTTCGCGAATAACTCGCGCAAAAAGCGGTCGATCGCGACGAAACTTTCGGTACCCTCGAGTTGACCAATTTTACACCTACTCTTGAAATTTCATGACCTTGACCCAAGTGACCTTTAACCTGTGGCGTACTTCTCGAGGCCATGTTTGGCCGGAATCGCGATTCGGCGTATGTCGGCTCGCGTTAGCCGCGCGTTCGCAAGCTTTTCGTGGTTTCAAACGTTAAAACATATGATTTGATGCTGCTCCAATGTATTAGGGTGAATATCAAGGTCACCTGAAGGTCAGGTCAGGTCATTGGCCTTTGGTGACCTCGGTTTACTTTTTCGAGTTTTACGTGTTTTTAAGGTACCGTAAACCGGGGTGAGTTGATATGGGGTGGTGAGTTGATATAAATTGCTCGAAAAATGTTAAAATGTGTGCTGCTCATCCATTTGTAAACCAATTTTTAGTTTTATTTTTCTGTGAAGTGAAGCAACCAATAAGTGATGCATATAGCTGAGAAAGGCATGCATGTGGTGCAGTGCCTTCTTAACACATTACTTTTTTCAAAGTCCTTTTTTCTTCTGATTTTGAAACTAAGGAAAAGTCCCCACCCTACAGCAAAGACGGTGGATATTCATGAAACAACATGCACTGGGAAAGAAACTACCATCAATTTACTGTTGATCCCAGGTAGTTTTGGGTTTCACCTATAACAACGCTTTTTTATAATTTTAAGAAAAGTGACAGGTGGTGAGTTGATATGCCATCAGGTGGTGAGTTGATATGCATGATAAAAGCTGATACCAGGCTGGTAGGCATGCAAATTAGCATGAAATATGGGTCTGCAGGTAAGACAAAGTCAATTAGACCAACTCTTCTCCTTTTCTTTCCCCACATCATTCCATCAACCCCAAAAGCTTTAGTTTTTTTCTGAATGCTTGAGACGAGGCCTGTTAGTATCACTGATGTTAGTTGTCGGACTTTCGTCCCCGTCTTGAGTTGAGATGTTAGTTTCACAACGTTTCAGCCAGTAGCTTCTCCGGCCGTAGTCAAGCCTGCCTCGATAGTGGAGTGGTTACAACCGTGGACCATCACCGGGGAAACCCGAGTTCGATTCCCGCTGACTACAGGAGCTTTCGAACTGTTTGACGCGTACGGCGCAACGCCACCAACATCCAGGTCCTTGAGGGTCAAAGAACACCTGACGAGTGACGACGGCCGGAGAGTAACTGGCCGAAACGTTATGAAACTGAATCTCAACTCAAGACGGGGACGAAGGTCCGACAACTAGCATCAGTAACCCCAAAGTTTTTTTTCTGTGGACATACCTAACATGCAAAAGGCACAGCACAGCTCCCTGTCAAGTCTCAAGATGGCTCCCTACAAGCTACAAAGGAACACTATAGAACACCTATATTACATACAGATTAAAAAAACTGTTATATTTATTCGTAGTTTCGAAAATGACAGAGCTGTCATTTCTGTATGGCTAACAGCGCGGGAATTCTGATCTCGTGAAACTGATTAGTTTTCCTGCTTGGCAGTTGCCAACCGAGAATGAGAGGCAAAATGAAATGGAACAAACAATATAAAGAAATTGACCGGTGTTTAGCCCTCGCCCGTATTCGTGTTTTGCCAGCGTTTAACGTATGGGGGGGGGGGGGGGGGGTCCGTTGGAATCCCATCGTCGTTTGGCCCCTGGTGGAGCTAGAGCTTCGCGGAAAAAATGAGCGTGTTGCCCGAGACGCGAGGAAGCCGATGATAACCAACTTGGTCATTGGTTAACCTTCCAGGCCAGGTCAATTACCCAGAAGTCGGGAAAATAGGGGGTTATTTGAAGTTTGTAAAGCGAGTTTATTATTTTTTGGCTGTTGCTGATCGCGAATGTCATGTTAGTTTTGCTCACAGATGTCTTCGTACATTTAGGCCAGGTCAGGCCAGGTCAGGTCAACCAGTAGGTGTCCTGCCGGCTATCCATAGGGAGTGTCAAGTGTCAGCTACCACTGACGGTGTCGTAACATGTTACGAAGGCACTAAAACTACTTCATAAATGATCAAATGCATGTTAAATTCGAAATCGGCCCGAAAAAACTACCCTAGAAACATGTAAAACTCCAAAAAGTGAACCGAGGTCACCAAAGGTCAATGACCTGACCTGACCTTCAGGTGACCTTGACAGTTGACACCCAAAATGCTGCGTGGGACCAACATCATTTACATGTTTGGACGTTACAATCACAAAAAGACTGGAAATGCGCGGATAATGTGAGCCGACTACGCCAAATCGCGATTCCGGCCAAGCATGGTCTCGAGAATCAGGTCACAAGTCAAAAACCATTTGAGTCAGAGTCATGAAATCTTTAGAACATGTGTAAAATTGATAAACTCGAGAGGTACTGAAAGTTTCGTCGTGATCGGCCGCTTTTTGCGCGAGTTATGTGCGAAAAGCCGAGGTGGTCCGTTCGCCCGCCTATAAGTGCGAGGGTTAATTTTGGCTTTTGATGCCGAATTCTGTTTTATGTCGCTTAGAATACAGTCCGAATTAGATTCGCTTCACTTCACTTCATTAATATTTTGTTGACTACCAGTCAACAAAAGCTCAGAAGTATATGTATTCTTTCATTTCAATCCATTATTTCTGTCAGAGGCATATCAACCTTGACCCGCAACTGACAATGTGTTTTAATTACAAGAAAATACACTTGTAATTCCAAAATATATTGCCAGTTTTGATACCGTTGGCTTGAGGACACGTGACTAGCCAAGTTCAGAATGTTCTAAGTAAAACTAAGTATCATAAAGCGAAAAAATGATGCTGCTAAAATCAAGCCATTTTGATCGCGCTGTGTTGGACATGATTGCGTTTTCATGAATGTGAGGTCTGCTGCCAAACTACTAGCATTTTTCTAATGGTTTCTTTCAGGATGTGTTCTCTCATCCTTTTTTTAAACACTGGCATTTTATCAACTCACCTCTGAGCTTCTTTAGCCGAGAAATTTTGAAAAATCCAAAATCATATCAACTCACCCCCTGTGGGGTGGTGAGTTGATATGAACTTTGGCGTTTTAAAAAAGGGGCTTAATATATACATTTTTTATTCATTTTTGCTGATTGCCTCCCCAAGGCATGTGCCATGAAACTGGCACAAAAAGAATTCCGTAAATGAATGTGGCTTTTAACGAAATCTAGAATAACCTCAAAATCCATATCAACTCACCCCGGTTTACGGTAGTTTTTGGAGCTGAATTCGAATGTAGAAACCATTTGAACATTTACGAAGTAGTTTTGGTGGCTTCGTAACATGTTACGAAGCTGTCAGAGGCGGTTGACACGTATTACGAATACCCGTCATGACCCCTAGCGGTTGACCTGACCTGACCTGACCCGACCTGGTCTAAAGGCTTAAAGACATCATCTGTGATCAAAACTAACACGATATTCGTGATCAGCACCCTAAAAACCCCATGGCAGCCACACTTTACGACTTTCTAACAGGTCCCGATTTTTCCGACTTTTGGGTCTTGACCTGACCTGGAAGGTCAATCAATGTAAATGTAAACAAATTATCGTCTATTTTTTCACTTCCCATTACCTACCTTTCTCACTTCTTTTCTCTTTCCCGACAGGTCGGTGAATGGCGGCCGTATGACGTCATGCCGCTAGCCAGCTGTCGCTGCTGACGTCATGCTGAAGACCAATGACCCGCTGTGCCCTCTGGGGTTCTACCCGCAGGTCCGCTGGCCAACCCGCTGCAAGCGCTGCTACAGGTGAGAATGGAATAACTGCCCGCGGGGGAGGGGATGGAGGGGGAGGTGAGTCCAAATGGGTCACAGCTTTTATTTTTTATTGAAGGCGCTTCAGTCTATCGACCGAACTGCCAGCGTATGTAGATCTTGCAGTTGAAATCTGAAGTTTTTCTTCCGATGGATTTTCGGTTTGAAAATTGGCTGGATGTAGTCACAGAGGGCGCAGTTGGATCTCAGGTGGTTAATAGCACGCTAAAAGACGGAGATCCCCTCCGGATTCATAGTTGTTGATAGTTGCAGAGATGATTTATTACCAACTTGAAGTGAGAGACACGCTTTCGACAAATGGTTCATGGCAAGTTTATATTATTATGAAACTGTTGTTTACTCGCTTTGTTCTGTTTCGTTAAAAGGTTTCTGCAGACATGGTTTCACACTAACAGCAGCACGTATACACCCTCTGTTCAGACGTCGTGCTGCTAACGACGTTCGATTTATACAACCGTTAGAAATAGTTACTCCTTTGCCAAATGCGAAAGCTGCGGGAGGCTCCCACTTGTTTATTCAGACTCAGACAGTGTTTATTTTTTGTTCTTCTCTGACGAGACTGACGCGAATGATCAGTAAAAAGTGCCGCTATGTTTCCGTGTCAGACAGTTTGTACGAATTTGTGCGCCTCGTATTGTAGAATACCATGCAGATGTTGCAATACAATAACGCGGAATACACGATAATAAAACGTTCATTGCTCAGTGGAACATTCATTTTATTGTAGTCACTCAGCACTCAATGCTGCAGTCTATGCACTGCACGCCGTTTTACACGCTGTCCTTTTCGTTATTTTCCAGGGAGTACAGCGAGCACAAGCAGAAGAGACCGGACAGTTCGACCAGTGGCCTTCGAAAGGACCGAACCACCGGCTCTTCTCCGTCCCTAAACACAGCCAAGTAAGTCTGCACACTTAGCTGCACCGCTAACCCGGGCTGGATGACGCCATGATTTGTCATAAAATTATTTTATGTTTGCTCGTACGCTTTATCTTGTTTTGTTTGTCAAACAATGATTTCGTCGAAAGCTTCGTTTTTTTTTAAGTAACAGTATTATTGCAATGATACGTGTTTGACTGAAGTTTTATGGCATTTTACAAAATCCTTGTTATCTCTAGTTTGTCGTGTTTATTTCTTTAAATTTGTATTCCTTAGTTATCATTGTGATTAACTACGTTGAGATTGTACGTTTCATTTCCTATCTTTGCACTTTATTTTCATTGATGCTTCATTGTGTTCTTGCCCCATAACATGCTAGCACATAAAGAACGTCAGTTGACGTCAAATCATTTTTAATTTACGGGTGATTGCGTATGAAAGATGTCACAGATATTCAACGGCTTTGTTTTCAGAGTTCTTGGCTCAGGTCCATTGTCAGATTTTGCTGACTATGAGACGAGGTTGAAAAACTTCTTTGCCAGAAGGTATTTTAGCGCTGCAAATTGAATTGCGTAATAGATTATTCATAGCAATTATGATAGTGCATAACTGTCGTGAGCAGAAGCATAATTAAGTACGTCTTGAACAGGGGCTGCTTGAGTGTTGTGTTCCACCACTGTATATAGATATAGCGTTTTTAGCATTAGTCATGCCTAATCAGCAGGCATGATAGATATCGAGTGTAGGCAGTGTGATTTGCGATAGTCATCACAAACGTATGTAGTGTAGCGAGAGATAGGTAGTCATCGAGCGTAGGCAGTGTAGCGAGCTATAGCCATCACAAACGCATGTAGCTTAGCGAATGATAATTATCACAAAAGTATGTAGGGATGCGAGTGATTTAAGTCGTCGAGCGGCCCATCGATCATGCTGACAGGTAAGGCTGTACAAAATATTGTAATAACTATAGTTTGCAAAGCATAGATACACCGTGCCACGACACTCACGGAAAAGGAATGTGAACTGATGGCGATGGCTCAGAACATCAGTGGATCTGCCTTGGGCAAGCTTCAAGTCGATCGGAGGTGTCCCAAATCTGGCATAAATATTTGCGGAATCTTGACTAGATGTAGACTGTTTTGATGTGGCACTGAGAGACAGCTATTTGCCTGCATAAATGCCGGAACAAGCGGGAGGATATGCAATTTTGTAGGGTTTTAAAATTTCCTTAGATCAGCATATCTCAAGACGACAAATCCGCGAATTCAACTTAACTAAAAGTGCAGTAAACGTCGTAACATGCATGCGCTAAGGAACTTTATGCTGCAACGTCCACTATCGCCCATGGTGTCAAATTACCACCTGATCAGTGTGCAGTGAGCACCTCTCAGAGGCCTTCATCCCTATGCATGTCTTCAGTCGTTTTCAGGACGGCTATATGATACACATTTAATGCACATTTGGTGCACGTTTGTTGCAGATTTGGTCACAATACCTACGTTCATTGTGTTTCTTAGAAGTTATCAGCTTGGTTTGCACAGTTGCCTATACATATACCTCCTTTTTCAAATTGCCTATCAGACGTTATTTTCGATTAAAACACTGAAATGAACTCATGATATGAAGGTGTTTATTGTAAAAGAAATATGGTGCAGATTTGGTCAAGTTAAGTGCATTCGCCCGATAACTCGTCGTTAAAACGGCTAGTAGCCGTTTTCACGACGGCCATCTGGTACACATTTGGTGCACATCTGGTACAGATTAGGTGCAGATTTGGTCAAATCAGGTTCAGTGTGTCTCTTAGCAGCAATCAGCGAGGGTTGCACTAATTGCTTATATGCCTCCTTTGTCATATTATCAGAGAGCATCATCGATTAAAACACTGAAATAAATTCATAAAATGAAGATATTTGCTGTAAAAGAAATTAGGTGCAGATTTGGTCAAATCAGGTGCATTAGCCGGATAGACCGTCGTGAACACGGCTAGTGTCACCTTAGACGCATCTTTCCTGAGACAATGTTGTAGCCGGCGGCTCAATGGGTCTGAGCAGACCCCATCCACATATGCGTTCACCAGCTGCGCCCAGCCCACACTTGCCGTGCCCTGCCTCCGGTCCGGCTTTTGCGCGTGTTTGTAATTGGCGGTGATTGGAGCGCCATTGTACGTCCGCCTCGCCTGTACTAGTGACTCGGTGAAAGCCGGTGACTCGGTGACGCACTGTGAACACCTGTGACGAAGCGGTGACGTGTTACCCCCCCCCCCTCCCGGCGGGCTGGGGGGGGGGCTGCGTGTCACCTACTCCGGCGGGTGAGGGACAGGGCTATACCACAGGCAGCAGTGATCGGATGGATGCATCTCTTCACGAGGTGACTACGGTGAAGCTGGTTCAATAAACATGGACCTGCGGGGTTTGCCGTTGTCCTTCTGTTCAGTAATAGTGGCATTCGTTTGAGAAATGAGAATCAATTGATCAAAAACCTTCAGCCTGTCTCCATTGATGAAACATTTAGGAACACCGTTGATCGTGCCTTTGAGTGTTTTAGCATCATTCTTACATGAATAAGCCTACACAGTGGCGGATCCAGGGGGGGGGGCAAAATGGGCATTTGCCCCCCCCCCCCAAACGGCATGATTTTAAGGAAAGAATCGATAAATTGTTATGGTTTGCCCCCCCCCCAAAAAAAAAAACTCTGAGCTGGATCCGCCTCTGAGCCTACAATACTCTGCTCGGTATATTCGTTGCTGAATTTTCTACCCGGACGCTGACGTGGAACAGATGAGGTCGGAAGGCCGAGACAGTTTTACCAGCGTTCTCTGCCAGCGGCTAGCTCTGGCCTGGCGCCATTTTGGTGTGACGAGGGCCGCCCTTGGCACCCTACTCCTTCCATTATCACCACCGCCACGAATTAGATGGTCCTTCACTTCCAATTAATGGAACAGCTGGGTGGGGCTGGGGGCTGTCTCCATCGCATTTGGAAAACCTAGTTTCACAAATCGGCAAGCGCAGTTTTGAAAATCCAACCCTCGTTAGATGATTGATTGATTGATGATTGATGACACTGAACTTCTTGTTCAGTGCTGGTCGCAGTTCATTGGGTTGCGAAGTTTGTTTGGTGCTTGTTGTGACGCGTGCCCTCTGTGCAGGGATGAGGCGGCCTCGAAGACCGAGACGGCAGCGGCAGCGTCCCGGTCCCTGCTGGCAGAAGAGGCGGCGAAAAACTACACCACCAAGTCAGCAGCCAGTCCTCTATCCAGGTGAGCCTACAGCTGGTGCGTTTATAAATATGCATGGCGCACAACTATGTATGCTGATATTATAGAGAACATGAGTTTCCATCAGTTTCAGTTCTTCTTTTATCCCTGACGCGTAAGGGCTTCTTTTATTCCTTTTCTGAATTAATTTATTGGTGTATGGTGTCAAAGAGCCATGGTTTGCTAATAACGTTTCCCATGAGGTGCTTCAATCGTCACTCTGTCAAGGTTTGCCAATAGGTAATCAGTAATGTGTGGGTTTGCTTATAGATACCTAACCCTTGAACTTCAAGGAAAGTTTGCTGAAGCGCAAAATGGGAAAGCGGTGAGAGGAAGGCGTAATTACCACCATGCATTAGGTACACCATGCCGGTGCCCTCGTCCCCCACCACCCTCTCTACCTGGTCTGAGGCAGGAGGACAGACGAGCTGAAGTTTCTGCTCCATCTGGCCACCGGCCACTTGGCACAGAACTGATACCAGCTGACCGACCCGCGGCATTGGAGCTCAATTTATTGATGTCGGAGCTACCCGGAGTGCGGGGGTGGATGGGAACAGCTGAATACAAGGATCTCATTCAGTATTAATTATGAGGCGCCACACGCTGACTCAAGACTGACTGCTTAGTATCCGAGTAGAGTACCACACAAGGATAGATGGCTAACAACGTTTCAATGTTATTGAAAACTCAACACGCTTGCAGTACGTACCCGGTACCTACCTATAGGCTGGGTAATTGCAAATGAATGTTTTCAGCTATTTTTTCTCCTAACCTATAGGCACGCTAATGGCATGCCATGGATAATGAATTGCCATAGGGGCAATGTTTCTCTCTGATCTTACCTATCTATTCTTAGTTTAGTTTAGGTAAGTAGGTACCTGCCGACAGCAAATCTGCATCTAAAACCACTGTTCATGGTGAACACCTTGAGACGCTTCTCTTCCAACGAACGATTGTCGTGACTCGTGAACACCTTTTTGGGTTTGGTCCTTCACGTTGACGTGACTGACGTCATGGTGACGTATTTCTGACTGTCTTATCAGCCTGTCGATGTTCATGGCCTGACACTTCCTATTGCTGGCTGGGTACGATGCAGTTTGATTTGAAGTGGCTCGCTTAGGACGTTTAATTGTTGGCTGTTTTCAGGGGAATCAGAAATGCTACTTTTACTATTTTTTAACAGATTCATCTTAAATCCTCCAAGCGACTTCGCACAAGCACATGGATCACCATGTAGGAAGTCGAAGATCTTCGTGCCGGCCTAGAGCTGTAGACAGGTGGAAGTTTCAGCAGCAGAACGGGTTTAGGGCAGTAGGGTGGCACAGACTGGGCCAGGGTCAGCGGCTATAGGGTTAAAAATACTGGCGCGATGTCGCCCGCGAGGCTTTGGCCGGCACCGTTTGGCCGTCTGCCAGGCTCGGGGCTCCACCAGCCCTCATCGCTGCAACGGGCACGGGGCATCGCGCCGTCAACGGACCCCGCTGAGCCAGGCTGCCCAAACGACAGCAGCGCGACCTTGTGCGCGCTAGAGATGAAATAATTTCTTGGAAACGAAAGGCTAGCTCTACTCCACTGCCACCGAAAGTTTTTAGAAGTGCACACCCTCGACATTAACTATCACAAAAAGCAACAGGGTCCGCAGTGAATCTACGTGTCTGTTTATCTAGATCTATAGAAGTTCGAGTCACATAAAGCAACAACCGATCTCCAGTGTGACCAAGGTTCACCTTCTGCATTCTAGTGGCCTTTTAAAGACGAAGATCATAAAAAGGTATGGGACTGTGGGCGGAAGAGGCGGCCGATGTTTCATAGCCTCTTACAAAATGCCTCTTACAAAGCCTCTTCATAGCCTTCGTTTCCAGCATATAATCCGCATATAACCCCATAAACCTTGCAGGCCTGTTGGGTCGGTTGCCGTCCAACACCTGCTGCGCGTCTGTTTGAAACACCGTGAAATTGTTGCAGCTGAATGATCGTGTCGGTGGGCTCGGGGTGGTGATTGAACTTAATTTGAAGCACGTTGGTCTTGTGAGCGACGCTCACATGTGTTTATGCTCGATCTCTGCGGCAGATGTCTCAGATGCTGTTCTGCTGCACGTTCTCTGCTCACGTTTCTCTGACACGTTCACGTTTGATTATTTGAATTGGACAAATTAATCTATTATTAATCTATTATTAATCTATAGATTAATCTATAATTAATCTATTGTTATTATTAATATATCTTACATCATATACTAGAAACTTACATCATATACTAGATACATCACATACAACAAACTGAGCTCTAATGACCTTGCACTCGGCGCTGGCGCGCGGCTTTGGCCATTGCCTGGTGGTGCGCCACAGGTTCGGGTGGTCTCTTGGGAAAACGACGATGGCTTATAGCAAAAAGTAGCTAGGGACATGTGGTCTTCACTATTGGATAGAAAAAAGATCGGCGCATGAAATGACACCTAAATAATGTGTGCACGTGCAAACCCATTTAATTGCTTAAGGCACTTCCATTACTTAATAGTCAACCCTAGTACGTTCACGTTTCCCTGACACTGTTGTTATGTATGTTCCCTGTTCACGCCTGAAGGCGCCGTGTCCCTGATATCGTCAGCACACGTAGCTGACCGCCTGTGTCTTATCCACCTCCAGGAGACTGGGGGCGTACAGCGGCCTGAAGGCATCCTCCTGGTCCGCCCACGACCTGCGTACTGTCGGAACTGACGACGACAGCGACACGGAGACCGTCAAGGATAAGGATGACGGTGAGTGTGAATGTTGGCTAGCTGACTGAATGAGGGCTAAAGTCATGTCACAGCGAGACATGAAACGTGAGAATCAATTGATCTGGACTGGTGTCAGGTTTAATTATACATAATTTCCTTTACATACGCCTATCAAACAAACTCTTGCAAACTATTCATCTGTGTCATTTGAGCATTATGTCAGGCATGACATCTAAGTAAGCGCGTCTGCCTTGTTTCAGATTTCATGAGTGTAACCAGTCACGACGACGACACGTTCGCTTCAGCGCTGACAGCCCAGTCGCAGGCGCCACCGGTGCCGCCGAGGGTGACCGAGTCGCCGGCGGTGGCCGTCTCCGCTCCCCAGTCCTCCGCCTCCGCCGCGCCGCGCAAGAAGCTCTCCGTCCGAGAGGTGAAGACGGACAACCCCAGCAACGGCGTCAGCGCCGACGTCGCCTTCATCATCAAGCTGAAGAACGCCAAGAAGCCGGAGGATGATGACGACATGAGCACGATGGCGCCGTCGGAGGCCTCGGTATGGACGGATGCCACCGGTGGCACGGACACAACCGACACGACTCTCGTCGACGAGAAGAACCAGCAGCTGGAGAAGACGGTGTCCTCGCTGCAGAAGGAGCTTGACAAGTTCAAGAAGAAGGTCGACAGGCTCAACAAGGAGAAGAAGGAACTCATGGATAAACAAACGGCGGCCGTGAAAAAGTCGAAGTCTCAGTCGGAGGTGCTGAAACTGCAGCAGAAGATGCACGAGCTGACATCGTCCAATGAAGATCTCCTTGACGACAAGAAGAGCCTGGAACTGGAGGTGCTTGAATTGAACAGGGAGCTCGGACTGCGCCCGTTGCCAGCGGAGGTGGACAAGACGCTGACAGACTTGCGGATGCGCCTTTCGAAGGCAGAGAGTTTGGTAGAGGACCTCCAAGAAGAGAACGAAGAGCTGAAGGGACAGGTGAAAGACATGGAGGAGGAAATGGAAGAGATACATGATAACTTTCGGGAAGATCAAGCAGAAGAGTACCATGATCTCAAGCGGGAGCTGGAGCAAGCGAACAAAAATTGCAGGATTATCCAATTTAAACTAAGAAAAGCAGAGCGAAGCAATGACGAGCTGATTGGACAAAAGACGGCACTCGAAGAACAGCTAAAGAACTTGCAGAGTTCGGGAGCTGGAAATTCCGAGAAGCTAGAAAATGAGTTGAAGGTGGCGCAAGAAGTATCGAAGAAACTGGGAGAAGAGGTAGAAATGCTTCGAAAAAAGACAAATTCTCTGGACGTTAGGCCACCCATCAAAAGACAGGTGAGCGTTTTTGCTGTCTTTAGGCCGTCTAGTGTGGCTGTGTAGCTAAGTTGGTAATTCACCGATCCCTTACCAAATGATTTCACCCATTTACATCCCATAGTCAAAATTTGCTTTTCAGGTCAGTGAGTCTTTATCTTGCAAATGCATTCCCACAGGTTACTGATCCCAATGTGACAGATCCTTTGCCCACAAGTACCTACTTTCTGGCTACTGCTCTGGTTACGTTCACACTAAGCTTGCATTCTCCCGGAAAGGAGGCGGCCAACAGAGGCCCGGCCTCGGTGTCCAAAAATAATGCTAAAAAATGTCTGTGCTGCTGTCCTGACGCTGTGGCATATGACTGCACTGCGCTGTGAGAGCGGCCGGCGGCGCTGTCCGAGGCGGCAGTTTGGGCCGGTGCCCGCCGTGGCCGGCTGGCCCACTGCCATCGCACGGGCCAGTCGGAGCCCGCCCGGCCCGCGTGCTCCGTCTTGGGGCCGAACGGAAAAGTCCAAGGTGAAAGAGTAGGCTGGCTGACAGGTGAATCCTACCCGTTTCTTTTCCGTGCAGGATTCCAACGTTTCAACTGTCGTTAGAAGTAGATAACGGCATTCCAAAAATTCTGTCAGACCTACAGAAATGAGTAAATGACCCATTTCGAAGTTCAACAACGTGGAAAACCAGCAAACTCAACAGCCCGTACATATTTTGTCCAATTGCTATGTCCATATAGTCCGACGCCAGCTACCCCCCCCCCCAAAAAAAATGTTTGCAATGATTCACTAACGGATTCAGGAGGGAAGGGGGGATTTGGGGCAAATACCCTCCCCCCGCAACGCCCGAAATCGACAAAAATTTGCGGTTTTTCGAGACAACAACGAAAAGTAAATTTTATTGGAAAAAAGTTTGTTTTAAACTGCACAGCAGTGCGTAAGGAATCAAAATACGATGAGTCTTTGGACTTTGGAGATTTTCTGGGGTATGCCCCCAGCAGGGCCCAAGACCGCCTTTCTGAATTTGCCAGTGCGCTGATAAAGCATCATGCTTTACGGGACAATAAAACACCACAGAAGTCCCGACTGATTGCTACAAAGAAATGTTTAATGGACGGACATATGTTTCCCCCTGCTCCAGTCTTCCGCTAGCGACGAGAACAAGCTGCTGCGGGACCTGCAGGACACGCTGGAGCGCGAGGCTGACCTCAAAGAGCAGATGAAGTTCGCCGAGGAGGAGGCGGCGCAGCTCCGTAAGAAGCTCGTCAGGGTGGAGGAGGAGAACGAGAGTCTGGCCATCCAGCTCAAGAAAATGGCCAAGAAGGGTGAGTCTGTAATGAGTAACTGGGCGAAATGGACTGTTTTCAGGTGACGCTCAAAGGGTAGATAAGTGTGGATCACCGTGGCTTTGGCCAATGATTCAACCTTCAAAGTTCGACCTGGATATCCGTCTTGTTGAAGCCATAACCGTGTTGGAAATAAATATCCTTGATTTCATTTACACCCTGCCTGTGCATGTAAGTGCATTTTGGATGTTCCCAATGCGATTAGGTGTAACATATGTCAGCGTAATTATATGAAGCTATGTCTCCGTTCATAGCTTCACCTCCTTCCCGCTCATTATCCACATTTAGCGCTGTCGCTCGGGGCGCCGCCGACCGACCCCGGCGGGCCGGACGGATGACGTCCGACCTTGGCTGACGTGTACTGTTGACGCTGATGAGTGACGGTGATGGCCGGCGCGGTGTTGGCAGGCCGCCGACCGGCCAGCGGCGGCAGTCTGGACGGCCCCAGCTCCGTCTCGCACGACCGGGATGAGGGCATCTCGGAGGACATCGAGGAGCTGTCCCCGCAGGAGCTCAAGATACAGCTCGAGCTCAATGAGAGAGTGAGTGGTTAGTCTGGCAGTCAAGGAGCCTGTGATGTACGATTATCAACTTGAGATGCGAATTAATGACATTTGTATGCCTATGCACATACGTGTGACTTAAGTCACACTATAGAACACGAACTATGACATTGTATGTCACATAAACGAATAGTAAAACTAGATAGGGGCTTCAAATATCTTCAAAAAGCATCATGAAGTATTCATATGTCCCATGTTTCTTTGCATGTTTCATGAGGTCGCTGTCAGCTCACTACGAAATATGAGTCTTTCACAGTGACATAACAGTACCGATTTGAAATGGATATCATCGGGTCTGTTGAACCTGCCAAATCCATAAATCTCGCTGTCTGTACCCAGGAGACCAGCTCTCTTCGAAAGAAGGTGGACAACGTGGAGAGTGAGAACGAGCGGCTGCAGCGCCAGGTCAAGGAGCTCCAGGAGCGCATGAGCCACGGCAGCAAGGCCACCATTCCCGAGATCAGCATCAGCGACCCCAACGCCTACTATGAACAGAAGATCAAGTATGTCCTATTAAAAAAAGTATGTCCTTAGATTTTACATTTATAATTCGGTAAGACTATTGAAGTGATTGTCATCCATCAACTATTGCCGGTGGTTAAATTAGTTAGGCACAGAATGTATCATCTCAAAGCGTCACAGCTCCCGTCATTTCTTATGTATATTTTTTTGCTCCTTCAGTGTTTTGGAGGAGGAGATGAACGAGCTGCGGAAGAAGCTGATAGACAAGGAGAGGGAGAACGATTCCCTGAAGACCGAGGCCGAGATGGGGCGGAGCAAGAAGGGTGGTAAGGTGATCTACGCACGCAGCAGGTAAGCTCGGTCCTCAATACGAACAATGAATACATAAACAATGTTCGCCTATTGTTTGCCTATTTTCATGACGACGGAAATGCCTTACAGAGACCAGTTTTCGTAACCCGATTGTAAAGCACCCCCTGATTGCCTTTGCCATAGCTTGTGCCGCATCCGGCTGACGCCCCCTCACCCCGATCTTCTCTGCAGATCGCTGGACATCAATGAGCTGCAGACGTCCGATCTGCGACGGCAGCTGCAGCTGGCCGAACAGGAGGCCCAGCAGCTGCGCTCCAAGAACTCGGAGCTGGAGCGCGAGGCTGCCGACGCGGCCGTCGAGAGCCGCCGGCTGTCTGCCCGGCTGGCCAAGCGACCGGCCGCCACCGGCCCGGAGAAGCTGGCCATGGAGAAGGCCGAGCTGGAGGAGCGTCTGAGCCGCGCCGAGCGCAGGCTCTCCGAGAAGGAGGCCACTATCGGCGAGCTGCGGCGCGCTGTGAAAGAGGCGGCCTCTGGCGGCGACCAGAGCAGACTGAGCCCGAGCCGGTCGCCGCGAGAGGGCCGCCGCGCCGAGCGAAACAGTGAGGTGGATGTGGAGGGACTGCGGCGAGAAAAGGACGCCCTGCAGAGTGAAATGAAGAGTAAAGAGCGAGAACTCAGTGCGGCGAAAAAGAAAGTCAGTGAACTGTCGAGTGAGAAAGAGCGGTTGAGTGATATGGTGCGCAAGATGAAAGACATTCCTAATTTGAAGACGCGTATTCCGAAAAAGGTGACGGACTTGACCCCAAAGAATACGTTGAAGAAGTGGGTAGAGGAGCTGGAGGACGAAATAGGTAAGTGGATGTGGGAGGAGGGATGATACAATGATGTGTTAGAATTATGCGATGGATGAGTAAAGTAAAGTGAAGGGATCCATTTTTGTTAGATAGCTATTCTGTTGGTCATTCGGCGCGATTTACACTTCTTCCAGTGAGTTGGAGTTATAGAGCATTTTAGTGTTAGATATGTGTCACATTTGTTTATATATAAAGATGTCACATTGTGCTTTCCCAATTCCTAGCTTGATCTCAAGAAAGGTAATAAGCGACAGGTAGCAACATAGAGAGAGAGAGAGAGAGAGCGTGTTTCGGCAAGTCATAGGCATGTGCGATTTCCGGACTGATGTCGACAATTCGTGAAAGATCCCGTGTGGGATGATATCGCGTTAGCTTTAAAAACAGTTAAATGCTTCACCCATTGAGTTCCAGCAAATGATCATCGATCAACCTAGCGTCTTAGAAAACCCTTATGAAAAATCCAAGATACCTATACATGATTTGAGGATTCAGAAGCATTTTCGTCATTAATGATTTACTTATGATAATTATATCCCGGCAAAATATTATCTGACTTTGATATATTTGCGAAATTGCGTTATTATTGGCCGTGAAGAGGTTCCTACCCGCGCCCCGCTGGGCTATTCAATTCAGCCATACGCGACCTGCTCGCGCAGATTCTGCCCCCCCCCCCCCTGTCTAACTTCCGAACCGATGGTCGTAGAAAGACGGGGAAAACGGGAATCGAAAGCTCTCAACAAGGCGGATCTTAAGAGCCCATGTTTTTGCTTAAGTAGGTCAGAGGTCAGGTCAAGGTCAGGTCAAGGGTACAAAATGCAAGTTTCTACAGTATCTATCGGCCTTGCACCGTAGTTGCCGAAAAATGGACTGAGACTGATTGCCCAAAACGTGTTCTTAGGCTACCAAGACAATATTCTTTGCATATAATATCATTCAAAGGTCAAGGTCAAGGTCAGGTCAGGTCAGGTCAGGTCACTAAAAACAAAATATAGAAAATGGCATGTGCCACACAGGTTTTTTGGGTCATTTTATTCATAAAATTCAATAGGCACACTCAATAAGTGATATGGACCACCTCTGGATCAATTTTAGGTCGAGGTCAGGTCAAGGTCAGGTCAAGTGAGGTCAAATTTTGAGATTGGTTGTTAAGGCCTAAAAAGGTGTCTAACTGATGCAGTTTTTCACGGCGAATCGAATGGTGCGATTTTTGTTTCCGTAGGCTAGTTCTAGAATTTCCAAAAAAATCATTTTTCAAAATAATTGTGTGTCGTGACATAAAATTTTGAATAACTCCCACATTTTTGAACCGATTCTTCTAAAAATTGGTATGTAGTTGCACCTAGACCACTTTTCTGACATATATTCCTTTTTTCGATACACTCAAAATTTTAGATTTTATAATTATTTTCCCAAAAACGTCAGTTAAAAATGGGTCCAAATCCAAAATTTTCAACAAACCCAGAAGGCCATTTGATAGACAAAGTAGAATCACGTATAACGTTTTTTGTTACGTCTTGATTCCTTTAAAAATGAAGATGGTAGCGGCGCTTGAAATTTTGCCGTTTTTTTAGGCGAAAATGGCGAACATGACGTCACTAAAACGTCGGAAATTTTCTAAAAAAAAATCAGATTGATTTCGCTCAAATTTTCAGGAAACGACTTAAATTGATGTATGATAAGGTACTCAAAGTTTGACGTCGCTGGTGTAACGCGTATAGAAGTTATTGGCAAAAAACGGGAGGGGGCAGATTCTGCCCCCTCCCCAGCGGGGAGCGAGTTAACCCTCGCCGGCACAGGCCATTTTGCGTCCTTCGACGGCACAAGAGGGAGGGGGGTTGGTTGGTACTACCCCCCTCGCGTTTGGCCCCTGATCAAGCTAGAGCTTCGCGAATGAACTGAGTGTGTTGCCCGTCACGAGAGGAAGCCGATGATATTCAATTTTAAGGTCCTAGGTCATCGGGTGACCTTCCAGGTCAGGTCAATGACCCGAAAATCGGAAAAATCGGGACCTGTTAGAAAGTCGTAAAGTGTGGCTGCTTAGAGGTTTTCCGGGGTGCTGATCACGAATATCGTGTTAGTGTTCATCACAGATGATGTCGTCAAGCGTTTAGACCAGGTCTGGTCAGGTCAGGTCAGGTCAACCGGTAGGGGTCGTGACGGGTATCGTAATACGTGTCAACCGCCTCTGACAGCTTCCCAACATGTTACGAAGGCATCAAAACTACTTCGTAAATGTTCAAATGGTTGCTAAATTCGAAATCAGCTCCAAAGACTAGCTTACAAATATGTAAAACTCGAAAAAGTGAACCAAGGTCACCAAAGGTCAATGACCTGACCTGACCTTCAGGTGACCTTGACACCCACCCTAATGCATGGGAGCAACATCAAATCACATGTTTGAACGTTTGAAACCACGAAAAGCTTGCAAACGCGCGGCTAATGCGAGCCGACATACGCCGAATCGCGATTCCGGCCAAACATGGTCTCGGAAAAGAGTTCACAGGTCAAAGGTCATTTGGGTCAGGGTCATGAAATTTTCAAAGTAGGTGTGAAATTGATCAATGCGATGATACTAAAAGTTTGTCGCGGTCGGCCGCTTCTTACGCGAGTTATTCGCGAAAAACCTTAGGGGGGTGCATCAACTCCCCCCCCCCCTGGGCGGCGAGGGTTAAGCATCGTCGTAGCATTGATCTCGTAAAATATCCACCCGGCCTGTGTTGTCTGGTATCTGTATGTATGTACTATACTATTTTCTGAGATGTAAAACAAGCCGACATGGCCTGTAGCACGGCCATTTCCGCATGTGTAAGTGAACCCCATTGATGTTTTAATTCGAATGTGAATGAAAATTGCATTGCAACTTGTCAATTGTTTTGAAACCTCCCAGAAGAAGCTCACTATTTGTAAATCACACAATGCTAGTTGGTGGGCAAACGGATGCTTGAAGTCTCGTTCATGTTGATTAAAATGTGACCTTAAGTTGGAGTTTTGACTGGGCGTCGTTCTTTAATGTTGTTTTTACTAAAGTAATGTTTTGTTGACACGTCTTTTACAGCTGTTTGCGCTATTCAGCTGAAGAATAATTCCAATAATGGTCAAGCTGCAAGTAGTTTTGGAAAATCGAAGGATGTATTAGCACTTGAAGAGAAGGTAAAAGAGCTAACTACTTCCATTGATGATTATAAAAAGAACGTAACAAAGCTTGAAAGGGAAAAGGAAGACCTTGAAATTGCTAAAAACGAGGCAGAATCGGAAAAACTAGAAGCAGAAAAAGCAAAACAAAAGGCTGAAAAGGAGAAGACCAAAGTAGAAAAGGAGAAGAAACGTCTGGAGACCGAGTCAAGTAAGTTTTTTTCTCAATAGGTATTAGGCATAGAAAACTCCAGACGCATCTCAGCCATACATATACCTACGACATAACTCAGCCATATATGGCTGAGTAGGCATGTAGGCATGTAGGCATATATGCCTACATGCAGGACACCCTGACTGAATACGTTAGCCTAAAATCGATTAAAAATGATATTTTTTTACTTAACTTAATGAAAAAAATATGATAATAGTTTTGGCCTGCGCTGTCTTCGTGTAGCACCTCATGCAACCTGACGAAGACGGAAATAATAAAAGCCTTCTTTACCAACCTGACATACTCTCCTTTGAACCGTACATCTCCGTAGGCTCTTCGTCAAAGGCGATAGCGGACCAGACGAAAGCGCTCAGAACTCAGGTAGACAAGGTGTCAAAGGAGCTGGAGGAGGAGAAAAGTCAGCTCTCGTCGCTTAAACAGCAGCTTGATCTCAAGGAACGCCAGCTGCAGAGGGCCAAGAAGGGGGAGGAAGCCAAGGACACTACTGAGAAAGAGGTACGTTGCTTTTGGTAATGAAAGTTTGCTTATGATGTGCCAGTGACTGTGATGAAGGCACGGATGTATATTGTATAGCTTAGGGGGCGTGTAAATAGGTTTATTGCCCCATAATACCAAAATGTGTGATCACTGACGTTTCTTGTGGTCAGCTCGCTGATAAGGTTTTGGAGCTGACGGCCGCGGAAACAAAACTCCGATCAAGCGACTCTAAGCTGAAGACTGCGGAGAAACAAGCAAAGGAGCTGCAAGAGAAACTCGAACTCACCAACTCTCAGGTATCTACTTGCACTTGCATACTAATAAATAAAAGCGACATAAAAAGCCACAGTCGGTTTTCCGCTGTCGTTTTCGCTGCGCGCCTGCACCTGTTGATCACTGATGTCCCCTGGTTGGCCGTCCTGCAGCTGGCTGAAGCTCAGGAGCGGCTCCAGCAGCTCGATACCAACCAGCGCAGCCTCTCCTCGCACTGGCTGACCGAGCGCGAGGACCTCAAGACCTCCGTGGACCGGCTCCAGGCACGGGTCACCGAGCTCGAGAAGACCAACGCAGAGAAACAGAAACGCATCAAGGAGCTGGTAGGCACATACGCGATACCTGTGGGCGGTGGGAGAAAGGTTGGCTGATGAGGACAGACTACATACAGGAATGAGTTGATTAGAAAATGATGCAGGCATTAAACATCAGTGATGCTTAAAGACACTTCAAAAAAGCTAACAGCAGCTTAAAAAGAGCGCGATCCGTCGTTACACTACTGAGCTTCGAATAATTTGATTTAGGAACATTTCAAATGGCTCGGTAATTTTGCTCGAGTTGTGATATGTTTCGCTGTTTAGGTATAGGCCTACCTTGCAACAAAATCAAATTATTCATATTTATTCGTTTTGATCAAAGCTATAACTACAGATAAATCAATAAATGTATCGCTTTTGGATAGCTGTCAGTCGAACGCCGCTATCACCGACTTGATCAAAGTTTTGCAACGTTCTAAAATCTCACTATCTAATTTTCAGTTCCTCCATCTATAGATACTTTGTTAGATTTAAACGATTAATATGTTAACGTTTTTGTTCTGGAAATTGTGGTACAATTATTTGCATTTGAATTGACTATGAATTTATTATATCTAATCTAATGCTTTCAGGAGGAGAGCAAGGGCAAGGTATCTTCTACAGCTGGAGGTGCTTCCATTGCCAAAATCGACGCCCTGCAGAAAGACAAGGCCAAATTGGAGAAGCAGCTGAAAGAATTCGAGGAAAAAATCACTCAGGTATGGGAAACTTCCCCAGATGTAAATGGTATTGCTTTGTAAGAAAGGCCGTTGTAAGAAATAGTGCACCAGTCATTTGCAATTCCCTCTTCGTTTGTTGAGCTGCCTACTTAACTCTTGCGTTTAGTTGTATACGTATGTGTGACTGATATTCGCTGAACGTATTTTGCACTTTTTAGCACGAGAAGAAGCAGCATGCCGCCGAGGAGAAGGCAAGAAAACTGGAACAGCAGTACAAGAAGGAGAAGGAGGAGTGGGAAACTCAGCGGAAGTCATCCCTCTCTGATGGGACTTCCTCCAAAGAGCGAGTTGAAAGTGAGTACTTTTACACATCATATTTTTAGTCATTCTGAAATGCAGGATTAATGATTTGCCAATTCTTTGACTTCACTTTTTTGAAGAATTAAGTGTAACCTCATACATATATCCTAGTCTGCTAAATAATGCACGTTGGAAAGGTACAAAAGCTGCAGTTTGTATTAGTATTTATATCAGCTGTAGTAGCGATTAATGTTGGTGCTTCACTCTTATAACTTCTGCAGAGTTGGAGGCAAACCTGGCTGATCAAATGCAGGAGTACGAGGATCTCACACGAAAATACGAACTCCTTGAAGAGGACTATGTCGTCATCAAGGCACAAATGGTCATGGAAAAGGAGCAAATAGAAGGGTATGTGTATAATGCTTATCAATGATCTAGAATTACTGAAGATTACTCATTGCGTTTTGCTTATCATTTCGTATAAAAGCATCCTGGGATTTCATACGATCCTAGTTTTTGATTGTACTCGACTCATGTAATAAAGGTGACATTGTGGGGAACTCTGTTCACACAGGGAGTTTACCACGCTGAAGCACGAGTATGACACAGCCCAGCGGGAGCTGCGTACGCTGCGAGAGACCTACAACGCCAAACAGGATCAGTGGATCAAGGATAAGCTCGACATGGAGGAAAAGGTAACCGACCGATGCTCGTTTGACAATAATATTTAAACTTATCAAAGGCGAACCCTTGGAGAAAAGGTAAACGATCTACAAACATTTGGATAATTACCAATAGTATGTTTTGAACGTACATTTCAACTGTGGACCTTTTAAAACGGTGGAAAACCTCTATTATTTATATGAATTTGTTTGTCTCTGCTTATTTGTTTATTTATTCGACAATGCTCAAACTCAGTCCGAGAGACCCTTAGTCATGTTCAAGTGCCGTCTTTTCGTGGCCCGAGCTCGTATGTACTTACCTCGTGCCCATTGACTGCCGGAAGCTGATGGGCGCCTCTCGCATGCTTTTGTCATAAGTTATCATGTCCGAGTGGCGTTACTGTACGTTGTCAGCTGCAGTTGCATACGTTGCCCGATTATTGCCAGCGCGGTAGCAAGTGCCGAGATTTCAGTCGTCTGAGCTGTAGTGTAATGTTTGCTTAGTCTGATATTGCATTGGAACTGAAGTGCTCAGTCCAGAGGATAATCTATCGTCTAGCCAGTCAGTGCAATCACAGTATACAAGAGTCTTATCCTATCGTAATCCACTGTTCAGTTGTGTGTAATGCATTGGTTGACCTAGCCAGAGTCACAGAGCTGTTTCAACGACAAGAGAAATCAAACGCTTTCGAATCGAAAACCGCTTGTTTCAAGCCATTCAAATTCAACATGGTTAAAATGAAATAATTTGGAATAAGCCTGTATAAACCATTCCAACATCGATTCGTGCAAAACACTCGTGGTTGAGCCACCATGCATTAAATGAGTTATTCATTATTATGGTTGAAACATCCCGATATCAAACCATTCAACCATTCTCTCGAACCCGTAACTACCATCAGATGAAGGAAGCGGACGAGAAGCTGAACCGCTCCGGGGGCGAGGCGTGGCGGCTGGAGAAGACGCGTCTCCAGGACCAGATCAGCGACAAGGAGACAGAGATCGCCCGCCTGAAAAAGGCCGAGGAGTTCTACATGGACGAGATCAGCTCCATCAAACGAGAGGTCAGTGGGCCGTGGCCAGTCATTGCACTGCGTGCACATAACCTTATAGCTGAGAGTGGATAAATCGTTGCCTGCTAGCAATGGTTTATTTATTTGACTTTAGCTATTCATGAGCCTTTTTTAAGCTCTCCTTCATCTCTTGTGCTATAGGGACGAATATGTATTTTGTGGGCACCTTCTTCTACGTTGGGCTGCTTTGAGGTCCACCGTGTTGATCGAAAAATATGAAAACGTTCATGCAGCGACCTAAATGCATAAGTGTGACGATATAGGTACTTTGGTGATATATGTGGTACATATATGTAGGTTGTCATGCATTGCTGTTTTACGTTGTTTTTTGGTTGCGACAGGGTGACGAAATGCGACGAAAGCTGGACGACTACAATATGGTCAGCAAGATTCAGCGAAACCTCTCGGTGGACAACTCACACCTGGAAAAGGAAATACGCGACCTCAAAACCAGGTATGTGTTTAGTCTGGCCTAGGAAAGTACATAGATTGTTGTTTTCGATGTAGTGGAAGGTAATACTTCGCAACTGTTATTTACCAAACGTATTATTTTGTCCAACTTTTTAGGTGTTTTTTTTTTTTTGCAAATACCTTCTTCCATTGTTAGTGGTCGAAAAGAAATGCCTCAACACATAATCACAGCTGCATGTCGCTAAGACAAGCACAATCACAAACTTATCACCTTGTGACTTGTGTTGTTCACATGAATCCTCAGTTTCAGTTCTCTCCAATACAATTGGGCGGCTGATGTTTTCAACATCATTTCGTCATGAGCTGCAATTGTGGCGAAAACGATTATCTTTACTCAGTGTGTACCTACCCGACAGAGTCCAAATTTCAATCTCATCTCTGACATGAGTGGCGGTGGAGCGCCTTTTGACCCATCCCCCTCACGTACCAGTTGTTGGGTGCAGCTTGAGTGGCGTGGACTGAAGAATGACTTCCTGTCCCGCAATCGGTCTAAAGATCAATCTGAATTTAGCAGAAGTCAAATAATCGGATTTACATAGATGAGCACACAAGACTTAGTGCACAAAGCAAAGCACGTATGTACTTACACATGCATTCCAGCAGTATCGACGTCTCGCACAATATTATACATGCATTCCAGCAGTATCGACGTCTCGCACAATAGTGATGCCTCTCAGCGCCTGTTCGTACAACTTACCAACCCTCACCTTACCTTATTCTCCCACCTTTCTCTAACTCGCCACCGCCCATGGCAAGGTCTCCACCTCACGTAATTCTTCTAACGCTTCTTCAGCCGCCCGCTGCCTATCCGTTCACCTCACCGGACCCCTCCGTATCCCATCAGGATCGTTTCGGAGGAGAAGGCCCATCGACAGGAAGTCAGCCACCTCAAAATCAAACACGACTCCGGCCTGGCCATCATGAAGGACGAGCTTCACAGTCTCAACCAGCAGACCAGCAAGTACAAGCGGGAGCGGGACACCTACAAGACGATGCTGGAGGGCGCTCAGAGGACCATCGGTGACCTGAAGCGGAAGAGCCGCGCCCAGGATGACGGAGGCGATGCCGTCGATTCCGCTGACGTAAGTGAATGTTCGGGTTCGGACACTGCTGAATGGGTGGTGGTGAATATCAGGGTGATTGCTGTGTCAAGCAGACTGAGAACTTTTGTTTTTAGCGCAAATTGAGCTAACCCAAACTTTGTAACGGAAGCGTGTATTTATCTCTTTCTTTTGCCAAAATGTCATATCAGCCCGTATTTTATTCGAATCAGGGATAGATGCTACCTCAACCAGGCAATTATGAATTATGACAAACTAGGGATAATCGTAGCGGTTGTTTTTTATCGCCACACTCCCTATTTCGATTCGTCCTTCTCTCTCTTCTCTCTCTCTCTCTCTCTCTCTCTCTCTCTCTCTCTCTCTCTCTCTCTCTCTCTCTCTCTCTCTCTCTCTCTCTCTCTCTCTCTCTCTCTCTCTCTCTCTCTCTCTCTCTCTCTCTCTCTCTCTCTCTCTCTCTCTCTCTGTCTCTCTGTCTCTCTGTCTCTCTGTCTCTCTGTCTCTCTGTCTCTCTGTCTCTCTGTCTCTCTGTCTCTCTGTCTCTCTGTCTCTCTGTCTCTCTGTCTCTCTGTCTCTCTGTCTCTCTGTCTCTCTGTCTCTCTGTCTCTCTGTCTCTCTGTCTCTCTGTCTCTCTGTCTCTCTGTCTCTGTCTCTGTCTCTGTCTCTGTCTCTGTCTCTGTCTCTCTCTCTCTCTCTCTCTCTCTCTCTCTCTCTCTCTCTCTCTCTCTCTCTCTCTCTCTCTCTCTCTCTCTCTCTCTCTCTCTCTCTCTCTGTCTCTCTCTCTCTTTTTCTCCCTCTCCTTCCCTCCCTCCCTCCCTCCCCTCCGTCTGACACACACGGCTCTGTTTTCCCCGGCCAGCTGGCGGAGACGAACCAGCGCGTGCGGGAGCTGACCCTGCAGCTGACCAGTCTCGAGGACCAGCTGTCAGCCGCTCGTCTCGAGGCCAGCAAGCTCAGGACCGAGGCCACCACCGAGCGGTCCTCCTGGGAGATTCGCGTCCACGACCTGCAGACCAAAATCAACGAGGTGGGCGGCACGTCGTCGGACTTGCTGGGCGTCGATCTGATCCGGGAAATATGGGGTATTTGCTACACCCATACGTTGATTTAAAAATTGTATTGTGTTTCCCCGTCACTTTCCTTGAAATGCCATGCTTGTCAACATGCGTGCCACCATAAATATTGCCACAGTTTAGCTATCGATATTTTTTATTATTTTTTAAATTCTGCTAGTCAGACCATCGCCATTTTATACAATAAAATATCAGGTTATGCTTCGTTGGCGCTTATGGGCTATTTGGCAATTTTCATGCAATATGTGCCTACCCATAAAATCAAATATTATGTTTTTATTTGTCATCTTTCACTGTGGCACCGCCTTTACCCGTTTTCTTGATGTCCTTCCCATTTGAGTCGAATCTGACCTGTACTGACCCATTTTAACTGTTCTGGTCCCATCTGCATCTGATCCGGCTGACCTGTACTGAACCATCTGACCTGTGCTGATCCCATCTGACCTGACCTGTGCTGACCCCATCTGACCTGTTATGATCCCATCTGACCTGAACTGTGCTGACCCCATCTGACCTGACCTGTGTTTGTCTAATTTGCCTCACCTGTGCTGAACCCTTCTGACCTGACCTGTGCTGAACCCATCTGACCTGACCTGTGCTGAACCCACCTGACCTGACCTGTGCTGACCCCATCTGACCTGACCTGCTGCCAGCTGGAGGAGGACAGGATCATGTCGTCGGGTCACGCGCGTATCTCCGGTATACGAGCGCGCATGGAGCTGGCCTGGAGCAAGGAGCGGGCTGAGCATCAGAGGCTGATCCAGGACACCTCAAAACTGGCTGAGGAGCTGAAAAACACCCTACATGAGGCAAGGCAGAGTGGGACTGCGTGTGTGAGGGGAGGGGAGGTTTGGACAGGTGTCATTCGTCAGATCTAGGCCGAAAAGTGACGCCATACATGCATTATTTTGCCCCTTTTAGCCCATTGCAATGGAACTGTGACAAAATGATATGCATCCTTCAAGGTAAACTACTTTGAAGATTCCTTGTTTTGTTGTAACCATTTTCCCAATCGGGAAATCCCAGGAAGGGGAGAGTCAAAGTGAAATATTAAGCGCGTCACGATATCCAGAAATGGCCTGTCCCATCATCCGACGTGCTAAAAAGACCTCCTGTACCTGTAGTATCTGATGCGATCACCGTCCCTGATCGGATGCCATCCCTATCAACATCTCTATCGAGCATCGGAGCGAACCATATTGGCTCATATCACCGTTCGGCTGAATGTTCTTCCGCTCCCATGGATCGGCTTACATGGGCGGATACTCGATCCGTGTTTTAGCATCAAAAGTCACATCCTCATATCTCTGACACCACCTCACGTTTGCTAGGTGGAGAGGCAGCTCGAAAACGAACGGGCCGAATCGAAGCGGAAAGTGGAGCAGGTGAAGCGGTCAATGGAGGATGAGACTGTAGATTCCAAGAGGAAAGCGAAGGAGGTGAGAGAGATGTGTGTCAACAGCCGCCGGCCTGCCTTCTGTCGGCGGCGAGATATCTCACATAGGTATTTTTAAAGTGCATGTGCAGGTGTTGGAAATAGCGGGTCATTTCTATATGCACCTCTGTCTTTCATTTGCACTTATGTTTTTATCATTTCAGCTCAACGAAGTCGATTTTGCATTGTTAACATCCTTACTTTTGCCTCATGTTTGATTTCATTTTGGCCCAAGCAATGCGTTACAGATATTTTGTTTGCATAGGTATTGTCTTTTTCAGCATTGTATTTACAAGTACATTTACGAGCTCACTTAGCATCTTGTTCAGAAACCAGATTCATACCAGGGGTCTTGAAATCGTACTGGCTTGTAAACCTATAAGTTCCATATCGATTTTATTATCATACCTACTATAGTTGTTTAATGCGTTAGGAGTTTATGCAGTGCTATGAGATGACAGAAAATGGTGAAATTATTAGACTGACGGACCGCCAACGGTGCGCCGCTGCGGCAGAGATCGTCCCGATGCCGGGCGGGAATTTCCCGATGGGACCGCTCTCTCAGACAAATAATTATCCCGGAGAGGACTTATGGTTCAAACGCATATCCTCATTAGGTACCGGCTGGTTCTGGCGGAGAGACCGCCAGCCCTGAAAGAGAAGCTGAGGGATGCGGATGGGCTTGATTTGAGGAAGGCAAAGATTAAGGACAGATGTTCATCTTTTTCACGATTCAGTCTTTACAGGTATCAACAGCGGTCAGCGATGCTCCGTAAACTTTTTGTTATACGGATTTGTACCTGCACGGAGTTTTTGATAGACAAATCTCCTGCTCTTCAACGACACTCCAAATATAAACCCCCAAAGCAATTTAACTCTCCGCACTTTTTCATCTCACATCTATCAAACATGACCGAAATAAGACATCGAATCCGGAAAAACGCGTTTCCGTAGCTCGCAGGCCTACGCTGCGCCGTTTCTCGTCTGCGCGAGCGGCCCAGATGACGCTAGGGTCGCAGCTCCGACCGACAGGGGGCAGCGCCGGGCCACTCATCCAGCGGCCCATCGTGGAGGCGACTTCCCATCACAATGCTCAGTACTGCTCACACCGTTACAGTAGGACACACTGCGCCCCACCCATGACCTCCAAACACACCGCCTTCAACGGAGCGCCCTCAATGACAGTTGGTAGTTTCACATGGGCCGTCATCCATCCGGTGTGGCCGTCTGCCACCGGGACAAAGACCCGAGCGGCGCGTCAGCGCGCCGGCACTGGCCCGACGGCCGCCGGCGGCCTCATGCACTCGCACTCGCTACCCCCCTCGCCGATGCCGCAGAGCATATCACACATGTCATCGTGACTGGGTGTGTCGCCGCGAGCTGCCGTCCGGCGCGGGCCGCACGGGCACAGCGGGTGTACGCAGCCGAGCTGGAGCCGCCGGCAGTGGCGCGCCAGCCGCCGCGAGTCCGGCCCGGCGGTCAGACGGAGCTGCGCCAGCGCCAGCGAGGCACCGACTGGCCAGCGGCGCGTCTCACCGGGCAGTGTGGCCGCGCGGAATGCCTCCCACCGGCACACGGCTGAGAGGCACGGCGGCTCCGCGTCGCCCGCTTCTCGGTGGGAGCGGGACCGATGGAGGGCGGCCTCTAGGGCGCCTGGCTTGGCTACCCAGCGGCCGCTGCACTGGCTCCAGGTTAGAAGTATGACCAGCCACCGTACCGCTACCGACTGCATGATCTGCTGGGTGGGACAGCGACCGGCGTCAGATAATTATAATAGCTGTCAGACAATAATCACTCGAACGTTTTTCATCCATAACTACAAGCGTAAGTACAAGTTTCAATTTCGGGCAATTTGTATATGTTTTGTTTTCAATATGTTTTGCTTCTCAATACTGCGATTAATTTCTTTCTGGAAACATTTCTTAACCCGCGCCCCGCTGGGGGGGCAAAATCTGCCCCTCCCGTTCTTCGCCAATAACTTCTAAACGCGTTACGCTAGCGACGTCAAACTTTCCGTAACTTATCATACATCAATTTTACATGTTCCCTGAAAATTTGAGCGAAATCCGTCTGAAATTCTTTGAGAAATTGACGTTTTAGTGAAGTCATGTTCGCCATTTTTGCCTCAAAAACGGCAAAATTTCAAACGCCGCTAATATCTTCATTTCTAAAGTAATCAAGACGTAACAAAAACGTTACACGTGATTCTACTTTGTCTACAAATGGCTATCTCGGTTGTTTTTTTTTTTAAATGTTGGATTTCGGCCCAATTTTTTTCTTAAAAAATGACTTTTTGGGGAAAATAATTATAAAATCCAAAATTTTGAGTGTATCGAAAAAACCGGGATATATGTCGGAGACGTAATCTATGTGCACCTGCATACCAATTTTTAGAAGAATCGGTTCAAAAATGTGGGAGTTATTCAAAATTTTATGACGTCACGACACACAAAAATTTTAAAAAATGATTTTTTTTCGGAATTTCTAGACCTCATACGGAAACAAAAATAGCACCATTCGATTCGCCGTGAAAAACTGCGTCAGATAGCCATCTTTTGAGGCCTTAACAACCAATTTTAAAATTTGACCTCACTTGACTTGACCTTGACCTGACCTCAACCTGAAATTCTTCCAGAGGTGGTCCATATCACTTATTGAGTGTGCCTATTAAATTCTATGAGTAAAATGACCCATAAAACATGTGTCGCACATGCCCTTTTCTTTATTTTGTTTTTGGTGACCTGACCTGACCTGACCTGACCTGACCTTGACCTTGACCTTGACCTTTGAATGACATCGTATGCAACGAATATTGTCTTGGTAGTCTAAGAACACGTTTTGGGCAATCAGTCTCAGTCCATTCTTCGGCAACTACGGTGCAAGGCCGATACTGTAGAAACTTGCATTTTGTACACTTGACCTGACCTTGACCTGACCTCTGACCTACTTAAGCAAAAAAAATTGGGCTCTTAAGATCCGCCTTGTTGAGAGCTTTCGATTGCCGTTTTCCCCGTCTTTCTACGACCATCGGTTCAGAAGTTGGACAGGGGGGCAGAATCTGCCCCCCCCCCCCCCCCCCCAGCAGGGCGCGTATGGCCGAATAGCCCAGCGCACACAGGGCCGATCGCCAGGTCCAGCACGACATGGGCAAAAAAATCGAACTTTGTGGATGTGCAATTAAACCTATACCAATTTGTTCAAAAATGATCATACTACACTGCTGTGGTCTTTGTTTTCCAAAACAATTGCTATTTCATGGCGAAAACTCAGCTTAAACACGAACTTCGGTATCGTTTGGACCGAACTCGTCCCCCGCACTCTTCGACAACGTATCTTTGATCCACGAAAACAATCACAATTTGAGGAGGAATTCCACATTTATATACATCAAACGATAGCTCCGGGTCTGCAGAACACACATAACCACATCAAAATGGCGAACTCTTACTTGGTTATGATGTATTGGCACCGCAAAGATTTAAAGACGAAAATATAATTTCACATAATTTATGTCACACACAAATAGACTTTTAAAAAAAGTACCGCAGAGTACCGCTTCGAAAATCTCGCTACATGTCAATGATTCATTGCACTACAAGATCCAACAGTCATTTTTTGCGACTTTTTGCGACTTTGGATGTAGCAGCTAAACATCAACCCGCGCCGGACCGGTGCTCGGCGTCAAACGCGCCGGGCCGGGAGGTGTTGATTGAACACTCCCCTTCTAACTCGTCTCTTGGGCCACATAGCGACACGTAGTAAGTGGCATTCGAAAGAGCCCCCGAAATTCCAGATGGAGTAATTAGTCATGTCTAGGTCAGGTCAAAGGTCACGTCACCAGAGGTCATCGAAGGTAAAATGTTGCATTTATCAACATTTATCGAAAACCGGCTCTTACCTCGGGGACCAATAGAGCTACATCGTCGCGGAAAAGTGCATTCAATTGCTCTTTTAGCGGTCTTTCTGAAATAAGCCGGAAGCCCTCAGATTTGGCTTAACCCTCGCTCCTAGTGGTGTTTTTCCAGCCGCGAACGTATAGAAGGGGTCCGTTGGACCCCCGCCGTTTCGCTCCTGATCGAGCTAGAGCTTCGCGGAAAAGACGAGCGTGTTGCCCGTGACAAGAGGAAGCTGATGATACCCAATTGTAAGGTCCTAGGTCATCGGTTGACCTTCCAGGTCAGGTCAATGACCCAAAAGTCGGGAAAATCGGGACCTGTTGGAACGTCGTAAAGGGTGGCTGCTATGGGTTTTTTGGGTGCTGATCACGAATATAATATTATTTACGATCATAGATGATGTCTTCATACATTTAGGCCAGGTCGGGTCAGGTCAGGTCAGGTCAACTAGTAAGGGTTTTGCCGGGTATTTGCAGTAGGTGGCAACCACCTCTGACAGCTTTGTAACATGTTACGAAGGCACCAAAGCTGCATGGTAAATGTTCAAATGGTTGCTAGATTCGAATTCAGCTAAAAAAACTAGCCTAGAAACATGTAAAACTCGAAAAAGTGAACCAAGGTCATCAAAGGTCAATGACCTTACCTGACCTTCTGGTGATCTTGACACCCACCCTAATGCATGGGAGCAACATAATATCCCATGTTTGAAAGCTTTAAACCAAGAAAAGACTGCAAACCCGCGGGTAATGCGAGCCGACATACGCTGAATCGCGATTCCGGCCAAACATGGTCTCGAAAGAAGGTCACAGGTCAAAGATCATTAAGGTCAGGGAATTGAAATTTTCAGGTTAGCTGTAAAAGTAGTTATCGCGAGGGTACTGAAAGTTTCGTTGCGATCGGCCGCTTTTTACGCGAATTACTCGCGAAAAACCAAGGGTTCCGTTCGAAGATTCAGGCCCTGTCGCGCTAGAATGGCATATCGGCCCACTGTGCAGCGGGGCGCGGGTTAAGATTCAGCCTGCTCCTTTTTGGAGAAGGTTACAACGAATTATTAAACGCGGATCTTTTCGAACAAAACAATAAATACATACACCGGCCATCGGCAGTAATGTCGAGACGCAGTGCAGCAGATCGTTCAAGATCATACGATAGCAATGCTTGCTGTTGAGTCTTACCTGCCTTATGTTTGTTCCGGGAAATAGCAATGGGCCGTGCCGGGTGGTCGTTGTCGTATGTCAGGGCAGTTTTGGGTCTGCTCGAAGCGTGTTCCTCGAGTGACGGCTTCAGTCAGAATACCTCCCCTCGGCCAACAGATCAACTCTTTAGCTGGCCTTCGCGTCTGGTACGATAACAGCGTTTGTTTCAAATGCCTTCAGTTATCACGGCTCATGAGAGGCAAAGAAGCGAACAGAATAGGTCACCGAGTGGCGAGCACAGAAGGTAGTATCACGAGCATCGTCTGTGACGGAACTGAAGCGCCACGGCGTGCTCAGGATTTATAGTACGGACGCTGACCAGTGCTGGCCGTTTTGAATGGGCCGATAGACAATGCAAACAGGAATGAGAGGGAGATATGAGACGGCGTGATACGCCCACTCATTCTGTTGTCATAGAGTGGGGTTTAGGACTGAGGTGATAAGTCGCGGTGTCAACGTAAGGCTCGTGCTACTGCTGGCTGATGCAATCGTTCATTATAAGATTCTCAGCTTCATGAAACGATGAAAATTACTTTCAAATTGAAGGGCTTCACTGCTACCACGAGGCTTTCGTTTGCGGACTATCCGCGCCCCGTTGAGGTCTGCCAGCCGCCAGGTTCTAGGTCCTGTTGGGGGGGGGGGGGATGGGGATCCCGTCGTAGGTATCTCTGGAACCGATAGTCGGATCGGAAAATTCAAATGGTTTTCGAAAGATTTCATCGAGATGATGCACAACCGTCTCGATTACCTCAATTCTTTACCTGTGACATGACGTAAAGGTCGAAAAGGCCAACTTCGTCCAATTCAGCCGAGCGTTTCTACCGAAGGAGGCAAGCTGCCACAGTCTACAAACAATGAGAGCTCAACTACTCATGAGTGCTGAGTGCTCTGCAGGGGGAAGTTGTATGCTCCGTGGCGCAATTTGCACAGACCAGCGAGCAAACCATGACAGTACCGAGTGGCCACGGTCATTTAATCGTGGCATACCTTACCCCGGGGTCGGCATCCGGGCGAACGAATGTCGCTACAGATGAGTTGTATGGCATCGGTGACGGTATGCAATTGCATACACAGCATACCAGGGCCTCGGCTAACATGTTAACTGGTGGGCCAAATGGCCCACCAGTGACCCGAAATGGCCCACCAGCCTCAAAGATTTGGCCCACCAGTATAATTTTCCGAAAAATCTAAGTTTTCACATTTTACATCACGACGTAGGTAACGTTGTGATACCGACAGAGACAGAGGCCCTACTACATTGTTACATTTATTAAAAGTAAGAACTTGATTGTCGTTGCCCGCCTAATACCATCACCATTCCCGGTTTCTTGAGACAGCCGTAGGTTAAGCCTCGGTCACACTTCACCGGATTGGACCAATGGACGAGAAACGGACGGCGTCCGGTGATGTCCGGGGTCCGGGGATGTCCGTTCGTTTCCGTTGGACGTCCGTTTCTCATCCGTTAATATCCGTTCCATGTCCGGTGGTGTCCGGTGTGCTCAACCGGACACCACCGGCCATGGAACGGATATTAACGGATGACAAACGGACGTCCAACGGAAACAAACGGACATCACCGGACGCTGACAGTTCTCGTCCGTTCCTCGTCCGTTGGTCCAATCTGGTGAAGTGTGACGAGGCTTTAAATTTTATGCAATAATCGTGAAAGACGTCTGCCTCTGCAATTACAGATAGTGTCGGCGGCTTCCAGCCGATCGAGGTCTGCGAGAGTTCTTGCAAGCTTTCCGATCGATCGAGTGGTTGCAGTCACATAAGCATCTGCCGCAGACCAGTCGGTTACAAGAAAAACTACTATTAAAGAACAGATCAGTTCAGACGGCCGGGGATAAGCCTGCGAGCGATCTCAGACGGCTCGCCGATAGACACGATATAAGCCAGAGTCAAACTAGAGGTAGGGTCGGCGACTTCCAGCCGATTGAAGTCTGCAAGCGATATTATGCGTCTTCACGACCGGTATGATGCTTGCAATCGCACATCTGACCAGTCGGACGAATTTCGAACCGTTCACAGTCAGCGTTCCAAAAATTTCTCATTTGGGCTGAAGATGACACTTAAGAATAAGAATGGATAATTTTCCACTCTCACATTTTAGGTGGCTAGAATTTTCCACTCAGACACCAAAGAGAAATCTGAAGTTTGGGACACTGTTCACCAGAAGTGTACATTACTTAGTTTTTTTTTTTTTTTTTAGAAAATATTAGGGTTGCGCAGTGCGCTTGGGCTTTTGAGTCAATTATTTTCCATGCGACACCAATAGGCTTAATGACCATTTTCAGAGATGTTGGGGTTGCTGCTACAACCCGCTTTTGGGGTTCCTGCTACAACCCACTATATACATATATAAAGTTGCACTCGTGCTGTTCACAATTCCTCCCGATCCACCCGACAACGCCCGATCCCGTCCGACCGCTTCCGAATCTCCGACCAGTCGGCGAGCGATCCATTCAGGGCTCGCTGATTTTTAACATCCGATCGGCCGTAAGTTATCGTCCAAAGTAAAGTTTTATAATCTGCGTCAATATTTTGTGCATACTTGTGCGATTTTATGTGCACCGCCGGAGTATCACCACTGAGAGGGTTGTGGGTCCCTACTCTCTCCTCTCTCTGAAGAGTCGAGTTGGGGGGGGGGGGTCCAGCCCCGTTTTCTACATTTTGTAATGCCATCCTGATGTTCTTTGCAGAATAAAGTGGCCGAAATCTGGGGAGAAATCGAAAATGGGGGGGGCTATGGCTACGAAGGTCTGTCCATGTCGCTGCCCAAGTGGCCCACCAGTCAAAATTCCTTAGCCGAGGCCATGCAGCATACACAGCATACGATACGCTACCGAGGTAGGCGGTGGCCACTGGCCATATATAGATATCTTATATATCTGCATTCTGCATCTGTTGCACTGCAACGGATGCATCAATCATGCCAAGAAATGTTTCTGAACGCGAGTGTATGGTTGTTATACGTGTATGTATACCTAGCAATTAAAACTAATCTCAGGGAGATCCAGACGTGCAGTTTAGGGGGAAGGGGGATGGGGAGCAACTCATGGCCTATGGCTGCCCCGGTGCACTTTTACCTAGTTGTTGAGTGGTGGGGTGTAGAACCGAGGGCGACACAAAATAAATGCCTTTACATCTCACATAACCCTCGCCAGGCGAGGGCCTTTTCCATAACACGGACGGCGGGCGGGGGGGGGGGGGTTGGTACGACCCCTCCCCCTCGCAATTGGCTCCTATTGGCACCTAGAAACGCCAAATTTACAGGGTAGGTGGGTCCACAAGAGATCTCGCCCCTGTGAAAGTTTGGTGACTCAAAGTCAATATTTAGGGGGTTTTGAGGGGTATGAGTGCAACAATTTTGCTAAAATATGTCAAATGTTTTTCACTTATAACTTTTTACCTAGTAAAGATAGAGCATAACTAACAGCACCAGTGAACTCAGGACGTCCGTGCGCATCGAATGCTATACTTTGTTACCAATTTAAGCGAACTCTGGATATCAGTTGCCGCTAAGCTAGTCCAATTTTCCCTTGACCTTGTACCGGTTTTGTGACCTAGTGACCTGACCTGAAAAGACTGGGACTTCAAATTTTCAGGAAAGGTGCGAAAATGTTGCCACAGAGGGTATGCTAAGTTTAGCGGCGCTACGCGCCGCCGTTTTTACGTTATTTGCGAAAAACCTTAGGGGGGGGGGGGTTGCATCAACCCCCCCCTCGCCGGGCGAGGGTTAATATCCCCGGTATATCGCTCTTAGTATCCCCGGAGCCGCCATCAGTCTCTCGGGGCCGCTGCAGTCTCTCCTCAGAATCCGTCTCCCCACGCAGAGTTTATCTCGGTGTGAGCTCCCAGCTATGCAACGGCGCTCCCTCTGTCTCCCGCGCTGCTCCTCTCTCTGCAGACTGCTGGGTCTCTCTCTCTCTCTCTCTCTCTCTCTCTCTCTCTCTCTCTCTCTCTCTCTCTCTCTCTCTCTCTCTCTCTCTCTCTTCTCTTCTCTCTGCAGCGACCCTCCCGCTCTCTCTGTTGCTATCCGCGTGACCCACTCTCGGCCGCTCCATTCGACCAATCGGCTCGTCTCGGCCTCGGGCTGAGGTAGCTCGTGCAGGCCTCGGTCGTGAAAACGAGCACACCGGCTGCATTTATAGCGTCCAGCCGGGTGCAGCTGCGGTCAGCCGTCGCGTCGGCCGGAGCACTGGAGCGGCTCGCGATGAGCGTTAAAGTGGAACGGCCGGAGCGGCGTCTGCTGCACTGTCAGACGCGCATGCATGCGCGGTGCGCCCTTACAGAGGTGCCCGGCGTCTTTCAGTTCACTTCAAATTAGGTACCTATATGGAATTACAGAGACCGCTCAAATGAAACTGGTCACATTCACCGTTCTTGTGATGAAAATATGAAATTTTCATATATGTACATTGATGTTTACAAACTCGTTCTGACATAAACAAAGCAGCCTGGAACTACTTTACCACTTCTTGTATAGAATTTGCTCATGCGGTGATTTGCCTGTCAGTATGTCACTATCAATGAATATATCACAATTTCTACGAGGTAGAAGGATACGCTACCGAGTCGCCTAGCCGATCCGAAGTTCAACAGTGCAGGTGCCGCGTGATTCGCGTGATGTGTCGCTTACGACACAGTTCGGAACTGCTCGACTATGCAGGAGCGCGGGGCTGCAAGATAAGGCTACTTTATTACATACTGCAAGCCGGCTGAGGCGATAACAGGCCAGTGACCGCAGCGATCCAGGCCAAGCGACCACTGTGCCGTTTCCATAGCAACCAGCGTCTGCCTAGGGCGACTGTCTGGATGGTCTGGATCGCCGTCCAGACGACGTGATGTGCATTATAAACGTCCTGCAGGACGTTTATCCTCCCCGCCACCCATGGATGGTGGGGGTGAAAGCGTTTTTGGTATTCATGTGTGAATTCGTAGTCTGCGTCTACGGTCAAATCCTGGTGGTTTCTCTAAAAAGCCACCAATCAAAATTCACTCGTAGAGTAAGCACATCTGGCGCACATTTGAAGGCGACTTAAACGTGTTTATGCCGCAAAATAGTAAGCATCGAAAAGAGATTCACTTGACCATGAGAGAGACACACACTGCATGTAGTTGGCACGCGTCATTTCCAAAGCACTTCACAAGTTTGCGCATTTGCCAGTTACAACAAAAGGACCATGTGCAAGCTGATCGAAATGGTGTTGACCTAATCCCCGCAAACGAGAGCCCGTCTTCTTCCTCAGGGCCAAAGGTGCTCTATTTTGACAGATTTGAGTCTTCTAGTGATTATTTAAATGCTCTTTGTCTGGATTAGTGGATTAGGGTAACGGGGGACGGGTGCCGGCACGTTAGAACCAGCAGGACCGCAACCCACCTCACAGGCTTCTCTTTTCTGCCGCTGTCTCAGCTGAACGAGGACCTGCTCGAGCTGCGGGACGCGCATGCCAAGCTGCGCGAGAGCCACCGGCGGGTGGCGCGCGACAAGGAGAGAGCCGACCGCGAGCGCGAGGAGCTGCTGCAGCGCGTGCAGCACCTGCACAAGGTGGAGGCAGAGGAGGAGAGGAAGATCACCCGACTGGTGGAACAGGTGGGGACCGGCGCGCGTTCAGTGACACTGCAGGCGTGACTTCGCGGGGTGTGTCATTCCTCATTCACACGGTGCAGTCCCGAAATGTTCAGTACCTACCTAGCGAGAGTAAGATGTAATAGCATGTGATATATCAGTGCCTGTTATTTGCGAAGTATGACGTGACCCGTACAGATGCAAGGTGGGACAAGTGCTGGCTTATAGAAAGCGGTAGTAGACGTGACTTTGTGGTACTTACCTAGCGAAATTGTTTTAGAAAGTCGTTGTAGGATGCGAGTTTGACGATAGAGCGGAGTGAATGCTGATGCTTGGCTCGCCATGGCGCGTTGCACATCGGTTTTTGACAATGCTTCGCAGCCAGAGTGGCAGTACAACGCGACTGTTGCTCGGTACATGATTATCTTTTTAGATTTGCGTAGTTCTCAGGCCAAAAAGTTTCGACAGTATGTCACTATTTAACGTCGTTTTCAAGAAAGTTGAACGGATTTGTTGGAATTTCATTAAAATGCAAGTCGTCAAAGACTACATAGACGTTCAAGTGAAATTATACTTTTAAAGAAAGATACATAAATGTAGGTACTGAAAGTTCTACAGAGTGCTTAAAAGATACTGAATAAATACGGGGAGGGGGAGGGGGGGGGGGGCAACGGCTCCGTTCCTCGAATAAGGTACGCGGGTTGGGCGTTAATTCGGGTTTGAAAATACTGCGTGCTGTGTACGAATCACGTTCTATTATTCTGAAAACACGTTTTATTTACTTTCGTCATCTCCTCAGAATGTTCCATTACCCGGGTGCCAGGCCTGTCGAAACCGCGCTGTAGCGTAGGTAGTCTAGAGACCTGTTGCCGTCGGTCTGTGTGAATACCGTGTGGCGAGGAGCGTGCCTCCCCTGTTCTGAACAGCATGCCCACTGTCCACCCCTGCGCAGCTAGAGGAGCAGCTAGCGGTGCTGCACCAGGCCACCGAGCGCATGGAGAAGCGACGCTCCGCTTCGCCAGCACCCGCCAAAGCCAGCCAGGTGAGAGCCAGGGTTAAGTCGCGACCCAGGTCAGTGGGAGTCAGCGCAGAGAGCGTCAGGTCCCGGGTCCGTGACCCAGGCCCGTGTCGTTGCTGACCGGCCTTCGATGTCTGCAATAGCTTCAGACACCAAGCTGCAGCTTTGCGTCGATTTTAGCGGTATCGCTTTCTCTAACCGAGACACTTCGAACGAACGCGTCTCGGTCAAATTGACTCTAAGAATTGGTGTTGAAGGATGTGGTGTTGAAGGATTGCACTGATACATGCGCATTGAACATCCTACTGCTTTAGGTATTACTTAATGGTGTCATCATTCATCCCTCTACAAGAGGTAAAATGTTGGCACCTCGTAGTTATAGAGGAGAAGGTACAGTTCCGATCCAAAGTGTTGCTAGATGTTACACTGTAGGGCGTAAGCTGTTTCTAAGTTGTATTTTGGATGATTATGTACCGATACGTTTTTTTTCTTCTTTCAGGTCGGAAAGGTGAACTCCCTGGCACCATCAGTGGCAAAAGGTAATAAATATTGTCGCTTGCAATGCTTGTGTAGTATTTTGTCTATCTTCTTCGAGTATGCGATATCATAGACCTCTGCACTGTACTTACACCTGACCTCTGTGCCTACCTGTGGCGTAACAGAGGTATACTCGTATTGTTGTGGATCAGCTGCCGCTGTTGACGATCGGCCGTCGCGCGCCGATCCGGTGACCCAGTTTTGTCGATCAGCTGATCGTAATTTGTCGGCCGGCCGCCAGAGGCGCTGTTTGTCCTTCTCGCGACGGACCTGTGTGGCGGCGGGCGGCCGGCTTGTGTGGCCGAGAGTTTTGAGCATTAGTAAGCGGTTACAGTGCTACCTTCGTGTTTAAATTAAGTTCAATAAAGTTCAAGTAATCGTAACATTCAGCGGTGGGATTATAACCGGCGCCGCGTGCCGCAGTCGGCGTGAGCGAAACCGATCAGTGTGCCGAAGATCATCGAAGATGGCGTCGGCCGGCAGCAGGAAGAGCGTTAGCCGGACGTGACGTCACAGGGAAGCTTCGGGACTATTCCGCGGGTGGCGCCACCGGTCAGGTGTGTCATGGCGGCGCCCAGTGTGATGATGTAAACAAACTGAGTGAACGGATACCGGACGGATAATCTGTGTGATACGGGACCGGTGATGGATAACTCGGTGGACACGAGTGCCGGGGCGACTGGGGCACTGAGCCTGCCCCTCCCCGTGTTCGAGTATGCCGAACCACGGCGTTTCTTCAAGCAGTTTCGGCGTTATGCGAGCTTGAAAAACCTGTCGGGCGTGGTGGCCCTGGACTTGATCTGTTATGCCCTTGGCTCGTGCAGGCGGGCGGCCTGGGTGGCCGACCGGGTTGAGGCAGAAGTACAGGCTGCTGAACGGGATGCTACAGTCAGTGCTGCTGAACAAAAGGTGCTGCATCTCCTGACGCCGGAGGTGATGAAGGGGCAGATCCTTCAAGGGCTGGACCAGCGTCGTCTGCAGCCAGGCGAGACTCCGCGGGAGTACGTAGAGGCGCTGAAGAGTCAGATTCAGCAGGTCATGCCAGAGCTGACAGCCGAGTCTCTGGACCGCATGACCATCGTACAGGCGATTAAGGGTGCGCCAGAGGTCTGGTCGCACAAGCTGGGAGAGGGCGACCTGTCCTCGCTGGACCAGCTGGTGACTCACATGACTCTGCTCCATGGCAAGCAGAGGTCAGCAGCGAGGCGCTGCCAGGAGACTGGAAGATCTGTGAGTCGAAAGTGTTATTCGTGTGGCCAGATGGGACATATTGCCAAACAGTGCAAAGGAGGGAGCCGGTCAGGCGGCTCGAAGGGCATCAAGTGCTATAAGTGCGGAGGTGTGGGGCACATCAGTCGATACTGTGCCAGTGGTGGTAACCGAGGTGGTGCCATGGGGAGTGCCAGTGGTGGCACCAGTGGTGGTGCTGGCACCAGTGGTGCAGGACCAGGAGCTGTGACGGCCAACAGGCGAGTGGTTGTCGGTTCGACGTTGAAGCTGGACGTGACGGTGAATGGACGGCTAGTGCAGGATGCAGTCGTGGACAGCGGCAGCGAGCGGACGCTTCTGTCGCGATCGACGGCCGACAGGTGTCAGCTGCAGCTGCGACACAGCCGAAAGGCTGTGGTGGGAGCTGGACAGGAAAGTCTCCATGTTCACGGAGCTGCAGATGTGGTTCTGCATGTGCCGGGCACTGCAGGTGAGGTGACCATGGAGGTCCTGGTCGCCGAGTGCAGTGACTGTGTGCTACTCGGCACAGACTTTCTAAAGGCGGCTGAAGTGGCTGTCAACTTCAGTACCGGTGTGCTCTCATGTTTTGGACAGGAGGTTAGAGAGCCGGCCGCCACCGTGTGCCGGTGTGTGGTGACAGATGGTGCGGTGGAGGACTTCGAGGACAGTCTGGACGAGGAGGTGATGCCGTTCCTGGACCAGGTGAAGACACAGGCTGACCTGTCTCACCTGTCAACAGTGGATCAGGAGAAGCTGAAAGCGGTGCTGGACCAGTCGGACGTGTTCAGCTCGCCAGGGCAGCTCGGACGAGTCACAGCTGTCGAACATCGCATAGAGCTGATGGAGGAGCCGCGGAAAAAGAAGCCGTACCCGATTCCGCCGGCTCTACGAGAGACTGCCAACCAGCAGATCGCGGACATGCTGTCAATGGGCGTGATACGGGAGTGTGCCAGCCCGTACGCGAGCCCGGTGCTTCTTGTAAAGAAGAAGGGAAGCAAGAGCTTTCGAGTATGTACTGACTTCAGGGAGCTGAACCGCTGCACCGTGAAAGACTCTTTTCCTCTACCTAGGATAGAGTCGCTGCTGGCGTCGATCGGTCCCAAATGCCGTGTCTTCTCGCAGCTCGATCAGAAGGCTGCGTACTGGCAAGTGAAACTGGACGAATCGGCACAAGAGAAGACAGCCTTCGTCACCGATCAGGGGCAATTCTGCTACCAAGTCCTGGCCTTTGGTATGTGCAATGGACCGGCAACGTACCAGCGGATGATGACGACGGTGCTGAAGGACCTGCTGCACCAGTCAGTGGTCGTGTATCTGGACGACGTACTCATCTTCACGGAGACTCTAGAGCAGCATGTCGCTGTTCTGAGGGAGGTGTTCGAGCGGCTCGAGCGGAGCGGGATCCGCCTGAACCCCCAGAAGTGCCGCTTCGCACAGTCTGAGGTCACGTTTCTGTCTCACGTGATCTCTGAGGGGTGTATCCGGCCGGCGTACGACAACGTGGCTGCGATCACGGCCTACAAGAGGCCGAGCAGCGTGAAGGAGGTGCTGCGATTCGTGGGGATGGCGGGCTACTTCCGTCACCTGATTCCTCACTTCAGTGTGCGCGCGGTGGGTCTGACTGACCTGACTCGCCGGCACTCGTTCGAGTGGACGGAGGCAGCAGAGCGGAGCTTCCAGGATCTCCGGAAGGCGGTGGCTGCCTTCCCTGTGGTCCGGCCGCCGGACCCGGAGCAGCCGTTTCGGATCACGACCGATGCGTGCTCGCGCGGCTGGGGCGCGACTCTGAGCCAGTGTGATGGTGATGGCGAGTATGCAGTCGCCTTCGCTTCGGGAAAATGGACGGACTGTCAGTCGCGCTACACGACGACTGAGCACGAGCTGCTCGCTGTGATTCGGGCCGTGACCAGGTTCCGATGGTACGTCCTCGGGACTGAGTTCGTCGTCGTGACGGACCACCAGGCGCTCAAGTGGCTCTGGAGCCTAAAGGATCCGTCTGGTCGGCTGGCTCGCTGGGTCATGGAGTTGTCCCAGTATGACTTTACGGTGGTTCACCGACCGGGGACTGCGATTCCCCACGCGGACGCACTGTCCAGAGACTGTGGTGATGGTGACAGTGCTGGCTGTGTGCCAAAACAAGGACTGTCTGGTGATGCTGGCTGTGTGCCAAAACAGGGACTGTCTGGTGACCGTGCTGGCTGTGTGCCAAAACAAGGACTGTCCAGTGTCAGTGTTGGCTGCGTGCCAAATGGTGACTCGTGTGAGCTGGCCGAAGGTGACGTGCCGGCGACGGTCCGAGCTGTGGAGCTGAAAAGCTCGGCGGCTGACGAAGCTGCTGTCGGGGCGGAGGCGACGTCTAGCCGGCTCAGCCTGCCAGAGCTGCAGCCGGCGACGCGGGAGGACCCGGTGCTGTCAGTTGTCATGGACTGTCTACGGACTGGGAGCACGAACGATGCGAGACTTGGTGACGTCGGTGCGTTCTATATGCGTGATAGAGACAGCCTGTTTGTTCGTGATGGCCTCGTGTACCGACAGACCATTTCAGACCGTGAGCCGCAGATAATCGTGCCGTTAAGCATGCAGAGTCACGTGATACGTCTTGCTCACGATGTGCCAATGGCGGCGCATTTCGGGTTGAAGCGTACGATGAGTCAGATCACGCGTCATTACTACTGGCATAACCTGAAAGTGACCGTGCGCGACTACTGCCGTGCATGTCTCGGATGCGCGCGGGTGAAAAGGCCGAACCGTTCTCACCGAGAAGGTGTAGGTAGTGTACCTGTCGTAGGGGAGCCGTTCTCCCAGTGGTCGGCAGATATTCTTGGACCACTACCTTGTTCAGATGCTGGGAACAGGTACGTTCTAGTCGTGTCGGACTTGTTCACGAAGTGGGTGGAGACCTATTGTATTCCTGACCAGAAGGCCACGACCGTGGCCGACTGTTTCGTGGAGCTCTTTGCTCGTTTTGGAGTGCCGAAAAGCATTTTGACAGATCAGGGCACGAACTTCGAAAGCGCGCTAGTTAAGCGGATTTGTGAGCTATTGGGGATCCAGAAGCTACGATGCACGTCGTACCATCCACAAACGAATGGTCAAACCGAGCGGTTCAACCGCACTCTGTGCGATATGCTCACCCATTATGTGAGTGAGAACCAGGCTGATTGGGACCGGTGGGTCAGTGTGTGTGTGTCAGCCTATCGGTTCTCACAGCACACCACGACAGGATATTCGCCGTTCGAGTTGGTATATGGTGTTTACCCGCGTGTGCCCGTTGTGAGTGAGATCATTGATGACGCAGATAAGCTGCAGTGTGACACTTACGCGAATTATGTGAGTGACCTGAAGCGCCGTCTCGAGGTGGACCGCGACCAGGCCCATCAGTCACTGCAGGACAGCCAGTCGCGCTCGTCTGTGGCTGGAACGAGTGACATTGAAGTAGGCGATACGGTGATGCTAAAAGTGCAGGCAGTGAAGCGTGGTAAGAGCAGGAAACTGTCCGCTCGTTTTACTGGACCATATGTAGTCGTCAAAGTGCAGCGACCTGATTATAGGATTAAGCGGGGACGAAAGCAGGTGCTTGTGCATGGTAGTAACCTGAAGAAAGTAGAAAGTTCTGTGCGGGACGATTCAGAACGGGCGACATGTGTGACGGTTCCTGTCACTGTCAGTGTGTCTGACGAGGAACCGGACCTCGGTGCCTGTATTCCGCTGTTAGGTCGGACCGCTGTCGGGCCATTGCTGGCGGTCCGCTCCGATGAAGTTTCCGGTCGTGTGGACTCGCCGAGTAGCGCTGAAAGTGAATGTGCTCTGTCGGACTCGGATAGTTCGGATTCGGAGCCGGACGGAACTCCCATCCGTCCGCCAACTGCTGTTAGCCGCTATGGCCGCCCAGTGCGACGCCCGCAACCGTATTCGCCAGGTTAGGCCCTCGGGTGTGCACCTGTGACCTAGGTGTCCGTACTTTTTGAAGGGGAGGATGTTGTGGATCAGCTGCCGCTGTTGACGATCGGCCGTCGCGCGCCGATCCGGTGACCCAGTTTTGTCGATCAGCTGATCGTAATTTGTCGGCCGGCCGCCAGAGGCGCTGTTTGTCCTTCTCGCGACGGACCTGTGTGGCGGCGGGCGGCCGGCTTGTGTGGCCGAGAGTTTTGAGCATTAGTAAGCGGTTACAGTGCTACCTTCGTGTTTAAATTAAGTTCAATAAAGTTCAAGTAATCGTAACAGTATGAAATACCGGAAATACCATATAGTAAACACTCCTCACTAAGTACTGCTTCTTCACCGGGCTTGTGGCTATCGACAGGTGCCAAAGCTGGCGGGCCTGCGAGACCTCCAGAGCCGGACAGGGCAGCGCACGAGTTTCAGGCGGCGGTGAAAGACATCACGGCCATGATTGACGAGCTGCGGCTGACCCACTCGACCCTGATGGAGGAGAAGGAGCGCGGCCGCTCCAAAGGCATCCGCCAGCAAAACTACCGACGGTGAGCGGGCCCACTGCTGGTCGCAGTGCAGCGTGCTGCTGACTGACGAGACTTGATAGGCTTGCATGGTGTATAGGCGTAATAAAAAAGCGTTTAAACACGATGATAAAAGTGTACCTTTAGGGTCACTAACATAAATGAAACTTCACTCGTTTTCTTTCCTTTTTGTAATGAACTTTACACGGATGACCTTGATTACTTGTGACTTGCTTTCGTGGGTTCAGCATACCTATATTGCTAAATCTCTATGATACTTATCAATGCTGACTGCCTGCGAGTAAAACTTTCACAGCTGCCCACCTCTGGCACACATTTCGCGGGTTTCACATCCGTTTCTCGGCACCACTCCTCAGCCGCAGCCGTGCCGTTGGCATTGTGACCCGAGTCGTGACCCCTGACGGCGCTGTTGGACAGGTCGGCCTCGATGGGCGACACGCTGTCCGAGGAGGGCTCGGAGACCCCCCGTCGCGCCGGCCGCTCGGCCTACCCCGCCCCGCCGGCCTCGCTGGTTTTGTCGGCACAGCGGCGCGGTGCCAGCCTGGGACGCAAGTCGCTCTCCATGGGCCTGCGCGGCGACTCCCAGGTGAGACGCCGCTGCTGAGTCTGTCCGTCTGCCGCCGCGCAGGAGGGCGTTGACCCACTTTTTTTGCCAGCATGATATGCATTTCCAATGGCGTGCCGCCATCGCTGAATGCTCACGTCTGCAAGTCATCCCCGGAGGCGGCTCTAGGGATGTGAAGGTCATACCTCACCGAGTTCGCGTGTCTCGTCCGTGCCAGGCATGGTACAGACGCCGCCATCAACCTCACGCTACGTTCTGGTCGGTACTGTGTGATGATAACCTGCCGTCTCACTGTCTCAGGACTCGATCTACGAGCACGATGAGGGCTCGATGGAGTCCCTGGATCCCTACACGTACACCACTCTGCCCAGGAAGAAACTGGAGCGTGACATCAGCATTGACCGGTCAGTGTCCTGCGAGGTCACTGACACTTAGTGTTCCCAATCCATATCAGCGACTCCAGACGGCTGGCACTTAATGAGAAGCTCACAGTACTAAGATCAAGCCTAATGATGGAGAGGAGTCGAACCAACCAACGCATTTACATAAGCTCCACCGTTGGTTTTTGGATAGGTATCATGATCAAGCTTGGTATAGCATGGTATAGCCATAGAATGTAATTCTCATGATTTGCTTTTCTCAGTGTCTTTTTCCCCTGTTCTAATAAATGTTTATTATTATTATTTATTTGAGCTTAGACTTGAGTTAGGTAAGAACCCCCCCCCCCCAGTTTAGTTAAGCTCTCATACCAAAGTACTAAGCGTTGTGAGAAAGATCCTCATGATGATTATAACCATTTTTTAAGTGACCGAATCCTCAATTGAGCCTGAATATAACGACAAATAACAAAATTCGGCTCATTTAAACATCGATTTTGTCATCCAAAAGATTAAAGATCCGCGAACCCGAACCTAAAAAGATCCTGATACCCGAATTTTGTTATTTTGTTATGATATTCAGGGTTAATTGAGGGATTATGTCACTTAGAATTTGCTTGTAGGCTCTCATACCTTCGAACTCCACGTCGCCTCGTTTCTGTACCGCAGCGTGTCGACTGGATCCACACAGAGTGAAATTATCTCCGGGGTGAACCCCATCAAGAAAAAGAAGGGGCTCAAGTCCCTACTGAAGGGTCTGGGACGTTCGAAAAGTATCGAAGACTCGGACACGGGACAGACTATCGCCGGAGCCGGACTGCAGGTGGGTGGATACGTCCTGAAATTTATTGCTATAAAACCATGGATATAGTTTTTCTTCTTCTTCTTTTTTATTAGCGATCATACCAAATCAAATTTAGATAGGGAGTAAATTAGGGCGACTGACTAAAAGGGACTGACTGGGGTCTGACCTGTGGGCTGATTATGGGCTGGCTTGTGGCCTGACCTGTGGACTGACTTATGGACAGGCTTGTGGGCTGACCTGTGGGCTGACCTGTGGGCTGACCTGTCAACTGACCTTTGGCCTGACCTGCGTTTGTCACCAGGCAATGGCCACCGGAATGCAGGGCTCCGGATCGGATCTATCCGACATTAGCGCCAGCATTCAGGAGAAGGAGAAAAAGGGGCTCAAGGGAAAGTTCAGCAAGCTGTTCAAGACGCCGCCACCGTCCCGGTCGCAGAGGTACGAGCAGGGCCCGTGCGGCGGGGAACCAGTGGTACAGTGTGCGCTTTGAGCTTGACGTGCTTAGTCCATATGACTAGTTATACCCTACCTACTAAGCTGCTTCAACATACCCTCTTCAAGAGTGTCATCCAAACCGTTCATAACCAGTCATGTTTTAAAAGTTTGTTATTTTGTATTTTGTCGTTAACCCTTCTAAGGTATACATGCTGATTAAGTAAACCCAAGTATATTACCGACTAATTAAGCAGTCAACTATTCAGTAGAATTTGACATAGATTCCTTCTGTGTTGCGAGAATATCACTCATCCTCACTTTGACAAATAGTGATTTTTTACGTACTGCATGCCACCCCTTTACATGACTAGTGTGAACAGTAAGTCTGTGTAGTTTATGTAACTACTCCGTTGATTGGCTGCCATGAGATGAAGGTTAACTGTCTTTCCAGGTGTTATGTGTCCCCTACCTGGCATCGCAGCTTACACAATGGCTTAGACCAGATAGACGAGGTAAAACCCATAGCCTATTAATCGGATCCTTTTCACTGCCCAAGCATGAGCGACGCCATGCATGACTTGTTCTGCGGTCGTGTTTGTTGGTGTTTTATCAAATATCAGCATCTAACATCTAACGCCTGTTTGGCCACTCGCTCAGTCTCTTGACCAAGAGGCAAACTATGCCTGACATGTTTGTCAACATTGGAACTGGTGAACATACATAGAGGCCGGTGGCGCTGATGCGCCTCCTTGGACCAGAATTGGAAAACGCGAAAACGCGAACGCAACAGAATGGTATGAAAATGAATGCACCGACTGGTGTGATTGGGACAGGAACTATGCACGCGCAATGAATTCTTTTTCTTACTGAAGGTGGATCTCCACATTAATCTCATCTGCTTTCAAGCATTACCATTCCTCCAATTCTGGCCCAAGGCAACGCACGAGCACTGTCGGCATCTATACATAGTGATTACCTACCTGCGCAGTTTGGTAAACACTTGCCTTGTGTCTACAGTCAACCTATCGGCTAGCTCAGCCAGAACAAATCGATGGATTTGTCTTTCTGATTAACCTGCTGAACATTTGCGCCGAGTGGGAATTTCCATCGGCTTCGACTGCAGGAAGCGTTTAGGACTCATCTAAACGTTGCTTGTTTTTCTTTTTATCTCTGTAATTTCATCTCTCTCTCTCTCTCTCTCTCTCTCTCTCTCTCTCTCTCTCTCTCTCTCTCTCTCTCTCTCTCTCTCTCTCTCTCTCTCTCTCTCTCTCTCTCTCTCTCTCTCTCTCTCTCTCTCTCTCTCTCTCTCTCTCTCTCTCTCTCTCTCTCTCTCTCTCTCTCTCTCTCTCTCTCTCCTCTCTCTCTCTCTCTCTCTCTCTCTCTCTCTCTCTCTCTCTCTCTCTCTCTCTCTCTCTCTCTCTCTCTCTCTCTCTCTCTCTCTCTCTCTCTCTCTCTCTCTCTCTCTCGGCGTCATCGTTGCTGTGGCAGCATTGAACGCGGCCCACGGGACAGCGCCAGTGCCACGGCGGCCCGGGACGCACCCCCGGCGGCTCCTGCACGACGCAGCAAGGCCTCGCCGAGCCCGGAGACGCGGCCCAAGAATCCACTGAACGCCAGGGCCCCTCCGGCGCCGGCTATCGTGAGTAGTGGGCAGAGTCACTTTCTCGCAGCTGCCGGTGAGCGCCCGTTGCGGACGCTTGTCCTGGATCTCCTACCGGGAAATTGAGGGCGGTCGGAGGTCTACGAAAGTGTCTTGCGCCGTCTGGCTGCTTTTATCGATTGTAAACCAGTTGCGATATTACGATTGATGAAATGTGTACCCGTTCTGTAACGGCCGATAGCGTTTTTGTGTCAGGAATGGTCACTGGTCAGTGTTGTTGTATGCAAAATATCCTAACATTGTTACACCCCCCTGTATAGAGAAGTGCTCGTTCCCAGGTGTATGGTCAATAGATATTTTGCTGTTCCTATCAACAGTTTAATTATTTGCAAGTGTCGTAGATGTTGACAATACTTGTATACCTGCCCAACCTTCTCCCATCATTCATGAAGATTTGTTTTCAATCCACCATTACTTGTGTTTTTATGCGTGTTGTTTGTACTACTTGTAGGTGTTGTTCAGTAAGGAAGACCAGGCTGCTCTGTGGACCTCCAATCCCATCCCTTATTCGTGTCAGTCTCAGTTGTTTTGGTATCCATACATGTAACTCTGTCCTTCATTCCATAGTGATATTCGGGGATGTGCGCTAGAATCAGGAATAACGGAAACATGACAACAAATGTGACAAAACGACAACCAATGACAAAATGACAACAATTGCTTTTCACTTATGGATAATGCCATCCCATCAGACACCTTTGACTGACTACGAAGTAAGCGAAAAAGTCCTCTGCTCTCGGGCTTTGTGGCATACCAATTTACGACATGGTATTTCGATTTGAATATGCTTACTCATGCAGGACAGGGATCGGACAGTGATAATTTAGGAAAAGCTGCCGATATGAAATTCTGTGACACTTCGTGAGTTGTTGTTTTCCTCCATATTTTCCCCGGATTCTAGCGCACATGCCCTATTCGTCTTACTTCGTATAACTTTCGTTGTTTTTCTAGAACAAATCAAACACGATTCATTAGTGAATCTGTTCTAGTATGGTTCCAGTGTTATGTTGGTCTTCCTATTGCATGATAAGATCTTCGTTGTTTTCAGACTGTAACTGCATCCTCTCATACGTCAAGGCCCCTTAAAAGATGATCAGGTACATAATCAGTGTTGGTGTCACTCACTCGCTATCATTAAATTGAAATAACTTTTAACTGTGGTTTGGCGTACTCATGCATGTCTTTATCGTATGCATTTTGTAGATGTTTGTCTAAAAAGCTGCACCGGCTGATGTGTAAGTACTGACACATCACTGCAATCGCGTAACAGTGATATTTTTTCGAGAGATGATTACGAATGTTACCTTTTGTGTGTCGTGCTCCATATGTGCGGTTCGCAGGAGGCTAAGTAAGTTTTCAGGAGCTGTAGGTATAGAGCGGACCTAACGCTTATCATTAGAGGAGGATTAAATGATGTATATGTCAAGAAGCAAATTTTATTGCATGCTACTAAACAACTTCCTATTGAATAGAATAGACATTAGGTTTTTACCAAACCAGCCGCCTGAACGGCCGGGACATAGCTGCTTTACTGATGTCTTCGTCGCTGGTCTAAAATATTTTAGGTGATCCATGTGCAGCACTTTTGGGGTTAATGTGTGTATAGTTTTTGTTGACTTGTGTCAACAGCTAGTTTTCTTCTCACTTCAAATAGTACTCATCTCAATCATTGGCGGGTGCAGAAAAGTGTTAGTGGAGCCTGCGTGGAGCATACTGCCTACATTTTTCTGAATTCAAAAACTTGGGTGTTTTTTCGTGTAGATATTACTTATATTGCGATTCAAAATGAAACGTCGCAGTTGAATTGTTGATAAGAATTTTTCTTGCTTAAAAAGCCGGCATTTTTCATCATGATTCCAGATGATATACATACGGCGGCCATATGCATTGAATATCTCCTGAAACCGCCGGCGATTTCAATGAGATACACTCGACATCGAGTGACCCAATGCTCATCAGAATATACTCGTACGTATTCGTCGGGTGAACCCTGGCGAGTTGTTGATTGTGTGAGTACCTGACCGAGTGCTGTGCGTTCCAGCAGATCAACAGCCAACCGTTCACCCGCGCACCGCTCGGCGTTCCCGGAAGTGCCCTGAGCGCGTCGCGATCGTCCCCGACCGGAGACGCCAGGACGGCAGCTCCCAAACCGTCCCTGGGTCCAGCCTCCTTCAGCCAAGCGCGCGCCATGTTCCAGTCGTGATCGCAGTGGGGTCACAGCAGCAAAGGGACAGTGTCAGTGTGGAGCCGCGGCCTCCTGGCAGACTCTGAGGTTCGAGTGGCCGCCTGGACATGAGGCTGTCGTTGCCTTGCCACGTCGCGGTTCCCGAGTGAACGTGTTGCAGTTGTCGCAGGTGAAAGTTATGCCGCAGAGATTTGGCAGAAAATGAGGACTGTGCGCGTACCAGACATCAGTGTCTGTCAGTGATGGTTGGTCGCAATGTTTCCGACCGTGCGATTGTTACTTGGTGCCCGTTATTGGACAATGTTGCATAAGGAAACAACACGTCCCGTACTGAATTGGTTATCATTTGTAGCTACCCAAACAAACCCAAACATGCGTCATTCAGACCGAGTGAGGAGCTCTGGATTGTTCTCCCTCCAGCCGGCTGCCACGCGTAGCTATTGCCAGGTGTGGAGTATGATGCACGACAACACGATGTATGATGATATGATGATGTAGCAGAGACGCGGGCAGTCGCAGCTCTCGGGCATCTCTCGTATGTTCCCCCGCCGCTCCCGACACCGCTGCTCAACTGGAGGGACGAGCGACGACGGCATGCCGACCAACATGTTCGCGACCCGGCCCCACAGACTAGTGCCCCTCTGCGGCGGCCAGTCGACGCAGCGAGGCGACCCGTACAAGGGTGGGATATAGGCAAGGGTGGCTGTCATCAGTGCCAAATGAATGAATGCAATGTCGGCAAGGGGCTGATGCTCGGTGCTGGAACATTAGGGAAAGTGTAATGAATAGGAAACGGCATCTGAATCTGCTGCCCAGCGCGGTATGTGGATCTTAATACACAGCTACTATGTTTCCCTACAGCTGGTTTCTGAATAGCAGGTAGGAGATGGGAAACGTGTGTGTTGGCGTGGATCGGAAGAAGGAACATTCGAGAACTCTTGCTATTCACCATCAATGAGGCCTATCATCTGAAAATGGAACGTTAAGCAAAATACATTAAGTTATGTGGCAGCGGACCTGGACACCAATAGGTTAAAACAGCGCTTGCTACGTTTTTTTTTAAGATAGGCTATATGTACATAGGAGCGAAGAGTAGCACCCTATCCCTCAATCAGCATACCAACTACGCTTGAGCACACGCTAAGCTAACAAGTATAATGACCGCGAGTGAACAATTGAGCTCCACGAATATCTAAGAGGGTGCACGCCAACTTCGAGTTACGTCTATTGGTGACGAGTAGACTCGACAGTAACAATATGCTAGATTTGGACTATTGCACATTCATTACACTCCAACGCGGCGTGTGGCATAAATGCGCCACAGTCAACACGCCATGCTGCGCGGATTGCTGACAGCGTGGAATAAGCCATGACCCTGAGTGTGAATGAAGTACCCATTTAGGTATTCCTACTAAATAGCCCTTTTTACGGCCAAATAAAGACATAGTGTGCACATTTTATTAATAATGCAACCGATATCGATAGTTCGCCAGAGACAGACTGCGCCGTACTGTCGAAATCGCCTGCACTATCGCTAAAATGTTTGCACCATGCCGCCTGAATTGGGCGTAAAAAGGTGCAGTTGCCTCATTCGAAGTGCCTGCCCCGAGGTTCTACATCATGAACTCAACTATGAATATTGGGTTATCGGAACTCACTCTAACATTGGTAATCACCAGAGGAATAAGAGACGGTCGACAACACAGGGCTACCGTTGCTTGAGTATGACTTCATCGAAGCTAATGACTTCAACGAAGCTGACAAAAGTTCAGTCTCTGCTGTGCTCACACACTTACCTAGACATACATATCTATACGTCCTAGGCTACATATTTCAAAATTTGGTGCAGAGGAGATGTATGCGTTTTTTTTGGTTTCAAGATAAGGATTGCAGCCTGAATACCCCCAGCTGTGAAACCAAACCAACAGCTGTCAGATGTCAGAGCGACCCAGCTGTCATTCTATGACCGAATGCACCCCGATCCAATGGAGTATGTACATATCTGTAGGCGAAGGCGAGGGTACTCAGGCTGCATCGAAAGCACAGTTTACTTAATGCCTTACCTAATATCTGGAGTCTAATTGTACCAGCGTAGACCTCGTACCCCAACTGGCTACGGCGCTGCCGTATGCGCACTGCACGATTATGAGCTATGCTCCGGGGCAGCTCTCACTGCTACTGTGGTGAAAAGTGGGGACTCGTATGTAAGCTTGTCAAACTCGCGCTAGTAGAAAGTACCGCGATCCAGCGCTGCCGCTACACATACCCGTGGCTGACACCGTGTAGTAAATTTACATGCAGCGTAACTTACGTCACTGGACCTGGCTATCATATCCGAAAACACAGTGCAATGCAATCTATTCGGGTATCGCATCCGATTCTTGAAACTAGTCATGCAATGCACAGACCTCAAACCACCGTTTACATTGACTCATGTTACTGGCAGACAGGTTTTGCGGTGAGTGTCGCTACCCACGACACCATCACCGCCACCATAATATTGACATTAGCGCGTTACGACATTGTCTCGCGTCACATGTCGCGTTCGCCCGGCAAGTCTGGAAGCGAAAGTTGCTGGGTGCTCGCTGGCGCGTGGCCATCCGAACGGCATCGGTGTGCGGCGCCGATCTGGGCGCGGCGGAGCTGGTGATTTCGCCGGAGCTGCTGTACCGTGGACGGAGAGCGGATCTCCTCTCCCGTCGTCAGCAGTACGCCGCCCCGGCAGTCAGTCGCGCGAACCTGCACAGTCTGCCGTGCTCAGGACGTGCTGGAGACAGTGTGAGCTGATGGAGCTGCGTGGGTCGCGTCTGACACTGGTGCTGCTTCTAGTGAGTGCCGTGTGCTGTGAGAGAGTCCCGGAGCCGGCTGACACCGGAGGGGCTAGAAGAGAGACCCGCCACGCCCCCCTGCCGCCCTGGCGACGGCCACACCCGCCGCCGCCCCCGCCGCCGCCGCGGCCTGGCCAGCGTGGCCTCCAACCGAGACCTGAAGAGACGGCGGCGCTGCACCCGCTACATCCGCTGAGGCTCTACAGCCACCGCGACGGACCCCACGTGCACCCGGCACCCAGACCCGGACCGCCGAAAGGGCAGGACTTCCAGCTGGGACCGCCGCACGGACCGGACTTCCAGCTGGGACCGCCGAAAGGGCAGGACTTCCAGCTGGGACCGCCGAAAGGGCTGGACTTCCTGCCCGGACCGCCGAAAGGGCAGGATTTCCGACCGGGACCGCCCCACAGTGGGCCGGATTTCCGACCCGGACCGCCCCCCAGGCCGGAATTTGGACCGGGACCGCCACTCTCGTCGAACTTTCGGCCCGAGCGGCCACATGACGAGAAGTTCCGATCGAAACCGCCACACGGACAGGAACCAGGGCCGAGTTTGCAGCAGCAAGACGAGTTCGGTTTCGGTTTCGGTGATTCTAGCCTGTCTCAACAGCAGCGCGATGAATATCAGGGATCGCATCAGCCGGACTTTCATTCAGAGCGTGAGTACATGACTTTTTATGCCTCCCTGTATTCTCGCTGGTCAAACATGAGTTGTGGTATGACAGTTTGACGTTTGTGAAAAGCGATATATATGTGTTCACATTATCGCTTTTCACAAACATGAGTTGGCTTCTTATTCATCCGCACATCATTTTCATTATGCGTCGTGGTAGGCCAATCATTTTGTTCCCTTTTTTGCTACCCCATCCCCATGGCGCCGTGAATGTTATTTGTCCTGAATACCTACGGCTATGGTGAATAAGCGATTATTAATTGTAACAATTTGTCATCTTTCATGCATTTTCCATTGCCGGAAAAGCACTTGATCATACACATAAGGCGTTCTCTTCTCATCCCCTCCCCTCCCCCCTCCAGTTCCACTAGCACATGATGGCCCTCTTTTACTAATTTATTTTTTTATTTTTTGTTGCACACTTTCATTGCGCCATTGGTACGGACATCACCGGTACGAGACGCAGCGGTAAGAAGCTATATAATGACCTGAGGTCAGTGGTCTAGCCTCCAGAGAAAAAAAAAATGAAAGTGCTGTTCAGAAGTAAAAATGCATTGTGTAAAAATAATAACCAACATTTTGGTTTCATTTTCTTAACCGAATCGCAAAAAGAATCGTTCAATAACTTTTTGGCTGAGTCAGACGTGAATCATTCCCTTTTCTGTGTTTTTTTTTTCTTTGAATCGAAAGCAATCAATTCACCAATTTTTTAAGGAAGGAATCAAACGGTGATTGAATCGAATAAAACCAAATGAATAAATGATTGAATCGACCCAAAAAGGTGAATCAATAACCAGTCTGCTTTGACCTGACCTTTACCTGAGGTCAGCGCTCGAAGTTGATCCCACCCAAACAAAAAGTATACACTCAAAACTCAAATGATTCCTTTTTTGGTGTAAATGGGGTGTGGTCTAAAACGATACCCACTTTACGCCCTACTTAGACCAGAAGAACACCATCTTAACCCTATCGAAACACCAAACATACACCCTGTACACCTGTCGAACACCGTTCATACACCCCTCTTGCACCCTTTTAACACCACCAGTAAACCTATATGACACCCGTATCATACCCACTTGCACCGGGTTTACACCCCCTGAACCAGCTTTATGCCACATTTGCACCTTATGTGCACTCTTTTTACTCTTGTGCTACACCACTTTGCACCCATTTTACTCCTGTTCTACACTCCCTTTGCACCTATTTTACTCCTGTTGTACACCCCCTTTGCACCCATATTTCTCCTGTTCTACACCCCCTTTGCACCCATTTTACTCCTGTTCTACACCCTCTTTGCACCCATTTTACTCCTGTTCTACACTCCCCTAGCACCCACGGTACACCCGGCTAGCACCATCCATGCACCACTCCCCACCTTTTTCATTCGCAGACCCGTCACCAAAGTCAGCCAGCTGGTGCAACATTTATTACAACGAAACTTAAAACGAAACGCATAACGAAACTTAGCGCATACGAAACTTAGCGCGGCCGCCCAGCCGCGGTGGCCGACTATGACGAACAGTTTCAGTCTATCTTGAAGGAACTGCTGGTCTTGGATGTCGGCCGGGGGCCGCTCAGTGGCTAGGAGTAGCACTCTGATTTCTTGGCGGTCCCTTGTTTGATAGTTCTCGTTGATAAGCCTCTGTTGAGAGAGGTAGTTCCGCCACTGCTGGTTGAACTCGGGCGGCGGGAGCACCAGCGGAGGTGGGCCGTCCATGGGGCGCTGAGAAGCCGAACCCGGCCGAGGTGTCGAGTCTGGTTGCGATGGCTGGGCAGCGCGGCCCGGCCGGGGCGGCTGTTAAAGAGTCGCCAATCGGCGGGCGAGCTGTTCCAGCTGGTCGTCACCCAGAAGCACCGGCTGGGTGGGCCTCGTGCCCCCGGCACCGCCTTCGGATCGATCCAGCTCGAGCTGTAGCTGGCGAGCCACCTGGCTGCTGGTGTTCCTCGACGGCGTGTCGGCTGCTGAGAGTCGTTGGCGCGATGTTGAGGGCGTACCTGGGCGGTTGTTGCCCATCCGTTCCTTGGAAGGGCAGAATCTGGCCGCGGGTAGGCACCGTGGTGCGTCCCGCTAGGCCAGAGGGAAATCCTGCGTCGCACTCCGCACTCACAGCCCACTTAATAGAGGTTTTCACTTTTCACCACCTAGCACTTGGGACGCTCCCCTCGTCGGAGCGTCCTGAGTCGCGGTCACGGCGAAACTGAGCCGTTAACGGCGGCCGAGGGCCCGCGCAGGGGCCTAGGCCGCTTCCCATTGGTCGGCCGCGCTGACGTCATGTCGGCAGCCGTTAGAAAGCGCGCGAAAAACGGCGTTGCAAAATGGCGTTGCTTCCTTGCTCAATGAGTGTAAAAGGGGTGTT